CATTTCGTGATGGAACCTTCTCACCATAATGATGAGCGTCCCATCACTCATCTGTCGCACGTCCTCCTACCTGGACTTCGTCCTCCAAAACGATGATGTGGTACGATGATGTACTTGATGTGCTCCGCAGCGTCGAGAAGAGATCGGCATTTGCGGAGACTGTTCCGGCGCTGTAGGTGCAGAGCATGAGGCAGTCTCTATAACGTGTAGTCCGGATAGACGTGTCATTTTTGTCCAATCCAAAAAGCGCCCCCTGAGTACCCTGACGTCGTTCACCACCCGGCGCCGTAGGCGGGATCCGATGTGCAGGGTTTATTTCTCTTTTTTTGCTGATCGAGTAATGAAAATTTTTCCCCGACAAGAGCAGACTTACTAGGCCAACTCTTGATTTCCACGGGACGATCGCTGACCCCGGGCTTGGAACGGAAGAACCGCCTAACGACCGGAAAAACCAGACGGCGGGGGATCTGGTCAGGTCGGCTCTTAGCTAGGCATCCGGTCGAAATCGAAAACATCGAACTCCTTCACAGCTTCGGAGGCCCTGCCAGAGTATGGAGTATATACTCGGCTGGCACCGCAGTTCGACACCCAGTGTCACCCCCATGCCATAAGGAGGCCGACCATTGTGGGGGAAAACGAACATTACTGTCAAAAATCGTATCTCTGCCCCAAAAATCTTAGAATTTTCCAATTTAACCTAGTATATACCTTGACACATTAAACATTCAACTGGACACTTTCCGTATTTTTCCCATGGCTAGAGAAAGAAAAAATGAATTGAGTAAAATGTCAAACTCTGACGCCAGACGGCCTAAGCTCCTCCAACGCACTTGATTATATAGCTCATACATACAGAAGTACATAGTACATGATCATACATTTGTACCTCTGTAGGTCTCCCAATTTTCGAGAAACGCTGATGTTTAGGGTAGAAACGGTGAAAATTATGGGACACCCTAATATATATATATATCGTATGTTGCTAGTACAGCCAAGATTCAAAAGCTACATAGGAGTTTCGCAACTTAAAACTATTGAAAGACAAGTTTGCATTATCTTACGCATTATGGATGTATCCGAAGGAAAGAAGCAAAAGGCAGAAGATGTAAAACATGCAACAGAGATATATAAGGAACTGCTCAAACGAACAAGCGCTACATAATACAAGTGACCGCACATTTGGCATGCTCCACCGTGCCCCTTGAAGTAATTCTAATGCGTGTCTAAAATAAACGAATGTGATTACAGCGTAGAGGAAATTATGTGACATCACATTTTTACTGTACATATCTCATTTCAAAAATGTAAAAACTTTGAGTCTTCCCAGAATTAGTCGTCTTCCAGGACGCCATGCACGGCGACTGCTCAGATAATCGCCGGGGCAGGCGTCCGCAAACTCGCGCTTTCTTGCAGACGGTCAGCGGAATTTTGAGGCCAAACCTTCAGTGGGCGGCACTTCCTTTACGGTCGCATATTCTGCTAGCGGGCTGCAATACAGCATTTTCTGCAAGCGCTCGGCAAATAATTTCTTTCAACGAGCGCTGATTAAACTTTCAGCAAGCGCTCGGTTTCTTTTTACGCAGTTTCATGCGTACGCCAAGCAAAAATGAGACTCTACTCAAAATCAGATAATCGCCGGCGGCAGGCGGCCATGCGATTTCTGGGCAAGCAGGCACCGAAAAAATAGTTCGCTGATTTCTTGCGGTCCGCTTGCAGATATTTGGAAGAATTTTAGCGAAATTTTAGGCGAATGCTTGGAGAACAATCGCGGTTTCCTTATAAATTAGCTGCGGCGCAGTGGCCGCATTCTCACGGACTTTCCGCAAGAATATGCAAAATTTTCGAGGGTCGCACGGTCCTTTGTGGAGGACCGCGCAGCCTCCAGGTACTTTCCGTTGAGAGAAAGTATCTCAAGCTTGAGTAATCAAACCAACGGTGACACCTCTGCCACACAGAGTCTTAACTGTGCTCGACGTAAGCCCGAAACTGCGTAAAAAGAATCCGAGCGCTTGCTGAAAGTTTGGCCAGCGTTTGCTGAAAGAGATTATTTGACGAGCACCTGCAGAAAATTCTGTGTTGCTGCCCGCTGGCAGAGCATTAGACAGCAAAGGAAGTGCCGTTCGCTGAAGGTTTGGCTACGCTCCAAAATCCTGCTGACCGCTTGTAGAAAAGCGTGAGTTTGCGGACCGCCTGCCCCGGCGATTATCTGAGTGAGTGGATCCTCCGAATTACACGAGAATTGGGAGAGGCATAAGAGTTGTTAGACCCTTGAAATCGTTTTGCGGACGACGTTGCCCTTTTCCAGCAGCACTACTGAGCAGAGACGATGCTATATGAATTTTACTAAGTAAAGAACAAATTGAGCTTCAACTGATACGGAGAAGTCGCAGTTTACAGAGTGGCGGAAAAGTATGAGCGTCACAGTACTTATTTGCAAAATTTTTCATACAAAACGAAATTGAGATTATTTTTGCGTCTCGAAACTAGGCATCTTCGAGTGTTACTTATACAATACTGGGCTTATGCACATGCATACTGAATTTGGCTGCTTATTCTGAAGTTAATGGGTCAAAAATGTCACCTGAAGAGCGTACTGTCACTGTAATCAAATCAGTGCGCCGCAGTGGCTTGTAGCAGATTCCAGAGTTCCGTTTGCATAAGAAGGATTCAGTACGCCAATTTTCATATGTCTTGATGTAGAGACTGCTTATAAACTACAGATATGTTAGCCGTCGTAGTAGAATAATTTTGAGAAAAGATATCACGCACGTTATAACGGCCATACTTGCGGGCCACCCTGTATAAAGGGTATTACTCTGAAGATACAGAATCAATTGAATTGCATACGTGCGTTGACATCCAATAGGTATAGAGAATGATTTGATGGAAAAGCTTAACAGAGAAAAAGAGCGGTCTCGATTGCTTTTGACTTTCTGAAAGATGCCGCCGAGCAGCTGACGAAACCAAGCTTTTAGCCCCTTGTTCAAATCAGCAGTTTTTTCAGTGTTGTGTACGTAACTGAGACTTGGGCTATACACCATGTTAAAAATGAACTCCACAAAGCGCCTGAGCGCAGTCTCCTAAAGATTGGCCGACACAAGCAACATCTTACCGGGCTTTAAAGTACGGAGAGAATAATGTGTCGTCTTCTTGACCCAGTGAATTAAGCTGCGAAAGCATCTAGGATCGTTACGTCATAAAAGGAACCGACGACAGATGGATGTTGAGAAGGTTAGAGTGGACATTGCGCGATGCAAAAAACCCTCTGGGTAGACGACGACGACTAACGAGATGTGCAGGTTTGTACTTGGAAAGGATGGACCAGCTGAAAAATTGGTCTAATACAATCTGGAAGGACGCAGCCACCGACAACAAGCAAGATCATCGTGAACGCTTGGAGCGAAAAACAGAGACAGATGGAGTTTTGCTGGCGCTTGTACGCAATGTGTAGACAAGCCGTTTGAATATCTATGTAATACACTCATTTCAACGTACGAGGCCCCGGAGATTTCTTCCAAAATCGATCAACTCAAACACGCCAAAGGACTTCGCCACCAAAGAAACCTTTACCGTGTGCTGCATACTTTTTAAGAAAATTGTGCGGCATAAGAATCGCTTTGAATAAGATCGGCATAAGAACTTGCTTGGAAAATCGGAAAAGGTGAGTCTTGTACGGGTGAAACTAGAGTTCTTTGAAAATAAACACGCAGGCTGTCACTAGCCTCGATGATGAAAATAAAATCTATTTATTTTATTAGCTTGCCATCTTATACGCGAAATTTTGGATCTTGGATTGAAAGGCATTGATTGACATCAAGTTAAGCTTGGCCAATTCAGCAGGTATTTGTAAGAAAAATGAGTTTAACAGAAGCTCATTGCCGTTCACAGATTTTCTAAGTGAATATGTTATACGTGATCGCATGCTATTAACCCTATGCAAAACTTTAGTAAATTTCGCGATTTTGTCGTACCGTTTGCCTACTGTAATGTCACCTAGAAGGTCCTAGCGTTCGAGCTGAGCATTTCGTAATAGACAATTGCTCAGCCTAACGATGAGAAGAGATTTCTGATGGTAAAGTACACGATAAAACATGTCTGCGATAGCATCCGTTGGATGCTTAATGTCTTCTCATTTGCCGGCCCTTGCTTTCGGCTTCCGCAGAACCGCACCATTTGGATACGTTTCACGTTCACTTCTTCATGGACTTGTCGTCGAATTATTATTTCACGCGCCAGTCACTGATCGCAGCACGGGAGTGAGAAAATGCCCACGGATTTCGCAAACGCAGTGCTTCGCAATTGTTGGTTCTGAAGAGAACCGTTGAAACTGCACATGCATAGTGTGTATAACTTACGTGGGTTAATGAAAAGCCATATCTTCTGTACATTTGAAATGTGCTTACAGTGAGTTACGGACAATTGGAGTATTTCCAAATCGCGTCGCGACGGTAATCGCGTGAAGTATGCCCGGCCCTCAACAGTTGTTTTGTAGCGATTGATTAGCACGATCCAATCGCGTGAAACCTGTCCGAAGCCTAAAACTGTTTTGAGACAAACTTTCGTGGAATATAAAAGTTTTTTTGAGGCTTTCATGTCATATGTAACTTCCGCTAGTGTTCAATGTCTGTTTTAAAAGACTGAGAAGGATCCCATATGATGAGCCATTATAGAAAAAAGGTCCTTCATGCGATGAGACACAAAACCATGGGCCGAAAGCGGTTTTATTAGCAGCAGGGTTCGCAGCAGTGTAGATATCCCGCACTGCGTTCGCACTCGCTTGACTAGCGTTCCTTTCGTACCTTCGTCTAGCGGTAGACTTCACATCAAAAGGAAGGAAAGCACGAGCATAAGCTGTCCAGCAACATTGTGTACGATTACAGACCAGGTTCTACTTGCTTATGAGGACAGTTGGAAATGGCAATAAGTTCATCAATTATGTTTTCTACACATTCAACAGATTGATGATAAAATAATGTTTTCAGAGTGCTCGGAAACAACTCATGACCATCATTCTCGAGTACGCAATGGTAAGCACTAAGTGCAGTTGCAGCGGTAGAATTTCTCCAAAACTGCGGGATTGTCGGGATTCGCGAGATTCGCGAGACAAGCCGGATTTAGCTATAACTTCTTTTAAAACAATTTTATATAAAATCTTCAAGAAGATACGGCTTCAGCTTGATGAGACGAATCTTTTGATATACAGTATGTCCGTAATTCGTGGTGACGGGGTAGACATACAATGATACCTTGTTGTTTTCTATGTTAAGGCTTTTGTGAACATTTATCACAGCGTTAATCGCGATTAGCAGGTTCTGGTACAAAGTTCTCATTATCGAAAACTATCGCGAAAAATTGAGCAGTTTTTTTTTCACCCTTATTACTCACTATAAGCATTTTATCATTTATCACTGATAATATCACATTATTAAATCGTTTTTGGCATATAGTAAGAAAAGTACTGTAGGAAACGCTGAGTGAATTTCTATCGCTCTTTCTTTGATTATAAGTGATCTACAGGCTTTTCTATTTCTCGGTGCAATTGGTAGATCCCTCGCTCCAGTAATCGATCGATTTCTCATTGGCACATGCCACTGCTGCCAATTCTTACCTAAAATGGCATTTTTGCTTCAACTCGCTTCACGCCGAAGCCTGGGCTGAAATTCTGCACCTACATGGAAGATGAACGTGGGAATCGACCGCATGAATTTAAGCCATTCTTATCTGTCGTTGTCATTGATATCATCATTTAATCATTTATCACTGATGATATCACAAAATTGGATCTTTTCTGACATACAGTAAGAAATGTAGTTTGGAAAACGCTGTGCGATTTTTTATCGCTTCATCTCTTATAGTATTTGATCTACAGGCTTTTTAAATTCAATTGCGCATTCGGTGCAGTAGATAGATCCCTCACTGCAGCAATCGATCGCTATGAGCATGACACCGTCTCTTTGGAAACGTTGTTCTTTCTTCATAAAAATCCACCGCTCTATAAATTGTGAATGAACCGAGTCGCCTGTCAACAAGAGTTTCAACGATGAGCTGAACAATTCTTTTTTCTGCGTATGGTCATAGAGACCCAGATTCACGAAGGCGATTGGTCTAATGTGGGAAACGGCACAAACGGCGTGCTCGAGCATCTTTTCACCAAAGTCCACACGCCCGTGAACGATGCGTGTACATGGGCGGTTGCCTCCGTACCGAAGTTTTTATGAACTCTCCTATGCTCTTCTCTATTTTTTGCTATCTACAATAGCTCACAAAATGTGCAGATTTTCTTTGTTGTCGTGATTCCGGAGATTTTGCGAAAGTCCGCAGCGTTCTGGGAGTTTTAAACATTCCGGGATTTCTGCGGAATCACGCGAATGACGCAAACCACAGTACCCACACTAATTTTTCGACAGAAAACGCAAAAACTGACGATCCGCGTTTTTTTCGTCTTTTGTTCATAACTTTCTTCAGATTGCATAAACTAGGAATCCGCGAAAGCTTGATGTTCAGCTCGTCAAAATAAACCTTCTGATATACTACGTTCCTTACCGGTCCGTTTTCAATTTGCTCGATTTTTGTGTGAGGACGGGTGTTCGTAGCGGTGTAACTCAGCGGAGAACACACACTCAGATAATCGCCGGGGGCAGGCGGCCCGCAAACTCGCGCTTTTCTGCAAGCGGTCAGCAGAATTTTGGGGCGTGGCCAAACCTTCAGCGAGCGGTATTTCCTTTACTGTCTGATGTTCTGCCAGCGGGCAGCAACACAGAATTTTCTGCAGGCGCTCGTCAAATAAGATCTCTCAGCAAGCGCTGGTCAAATTTTCAGCTGGCGCTCGGAAGGTTTTTAAGCGGTTTCGGGCGTACGCCGAGCAAAGGTGAGACTCTACATGACAGAGGTGTCATCGCTGGTTTAATCACTCAAGTTTGAGGTACTTTCTCTCAGCGGAAAGTACCTGAGGGCTGCACGGTCCTCCACAAAAGACCGTGCGGCACTCGAAAATTTTGCATATTCTCGCGGAAAGTCCGCGAGAATGCGGCCACTGCGCCGCAGCTAATCTATATAGAAACCGCGATTGTCCTCCAAGCATTCGTCTAAAATCTCGCTAAACTTCTTCCAAATATCTACAAGCGGACCGCAAAAAATCAGCAAACTATTTTTCCGGTGCCCGCCTGCCCATAAATCGCATGGCCGCCTGCCCCCGGCGATTATCTGAGCAAGGAAGATTCTAGTAAACATGACCAGTAAAGCTGTTTTCGTAGATTATTAAGCGCTAGCGGACAGTGGAGGATCCCTTTTCCACAGAGAAAGATAGGTCGATGAATTTTGGAAAAATCTATGTCTTTCAAATTTTAGCTACCGTAACCATACAGTAAGGCGCTAATTTGCAAAGCAGGTGTATTTTTCGTGATCAGCAGGTCAAATAACCTCTATGCGCAAGTTTTCCGACGAATTTGGGCTCTTTGATTTTTTCTCGTTCTGGGCTCTGAAGTTCGCCGACGGGTTTTGGCCAAAATATTGATGACCATGGATTGGCCGGAAACTTCGCCCACAGGGGTTTTCGAACTCGCTAATTACGAAAACAGTGCTTTTTGTGCAGCAAGTTTTTTTTAGCAGAGTTATACCGAGTGAGCTGTCTCGAAACCAGGCAAGATCCTACATTTGCCTGCTCTTTTCGCGTATTTCTTGGACAACTCACCCAGTTGTTTTCATAGCTAAACATTAACGGAAGCCGTGCTATTGACCCATGGTTATTGTAGGCCTCCACCTGTAAGAACTGCCCAGTTACGAGCTTACGAAATCATGTTCTCATGAATTATGCACAACATTTGATGATCGCCCACTTTGTCCAAATATGGTCCTGATTGGATGTATAACACGCTATTTGCAAATGTTACTCTGCTCAAGAATTTCTACTGTAAAAGGCAGCTTAATCGAGGTATACAATAAATTTCAGAAAATATTCATGAGAACGTGATTTCGTGAGCTCGAAACTGGGCAGTTCTTACAGATGGAGGCCTGCAATAACCATGGATCAATAGCGCGGCAGCAACCAGTGCTCCCGGCCTCCTACTTCTAGGAGCGCTCGCATCGCAGAGCCGCGACAGCTTCTGTTGATGTTTAGCTATAAAGATAACTGGGTGAGTTGTTCAACAAATACGCGAAAAGAGCAGGCAAAAGTAGGATCTTGCTCAGATAACCGCCGGGGGCAGGCAGCCATGCGAATTTTGAGCAAGCGCGCACCTGAAAAATAGTTCGTTGATTTTTTGCGGCCCGCTTGCAGAAATTTGGAAGAAAGTTGGCAAAATTAAAGACGAATGCTTGAAGAACAATCGCGGTTTCTTTATGGATTAGCTGCGGCGCAGTGGCCGCATTCTCGCGGACTTTCCGCGAGGATATGCAAAAATTTCGAGGACCGCACGTTCCTTTGTGGAGGACCGCGCAACCCCAGGTACTTTCCGCTGAGAGAAAGTACCTCAAACTTGAGTAATTAAACCAACGGTGGCACCTCTGCCACACAGAGTCTTACCTGCGCTCGACGTACGTCCGAAAATACCTAAAAAGAGTCCGAGCGCTTGCTGGAAGTTTGGCCAGCGCTCGCTGGAAGATATTATTTGACGAGCGCTCGCAGAAAATTCTGTATTGCTGCCCGCTGGCAGAACGCGGAAGTACCGCCCGCTGAAGGTTTGGCCACGCCCCAAAATTCTTCTGACCGCCTGCAGAAAAGGGCGAGTTTGCGGACCGCCTGCCCCCGGCGATTATCTGAGTGCCTGGTATCGACAGCTCACCCGGTATAACTCTGCTAAAAAAAACTTACTGCACAAATAGCACTGTTTTCGTAATCAGCGAGTTCGAAAACCCCTGTGGGCGAAGTTTCCGGCCAATCCATGGTCATCAATATTTTGGCCAAAACCCGTCGGCGAACTTCAGAGCCCAGAACGAGAAAAAAATCAAAGGGCCCGAATTCGTCGGAAAACTTGCGCATAGAGGTTATTTGACCTGCTGATCACGAAAAACACACCTGCTTTGCAAATTAGCGCCTTACTGTATGGTTACCATAGCTAAAATTTGAAAGACATAGATTTTTCCAAAATTCATCGACCTATCTTTCTCTGTGGAAAAGGGATCCTCCACTGTTCGCTAGCGCTTAATAATCTACGAAAACAGCTTTACTGGTCATGTTTACTAGAATCTTCCTTGTGTGTTCTCCGCTGAGTTACACCGCTACGAACACCCGTCCTCACACAAAAATCGAGCAAATTGAAAACGGACCGGTAAGGAACGTAGTATATCAGAAGGTTCATTTTGACGAGCCGAACATCAGGCTTTCGCGGATTCCTAGTTTATGCAATCTGAAGAAAGTTATGAACAACAGACGAAAAAAACGCGGATCGTCAGTTTTTGCGTTTTCTGTCGAAAAATTAGTGTGGGTACTGTGGTTTGCGTCATTCGCATGATTCCGCAGAAATCCCGGAATGTTTAAAACTCCCAGAACGCTGCGGACTTTCGCAAAATCTCCGGAATCACGACAACAAAGAAAATCTGCACATTTTGTGAGCTATTGTAGATAGCAAAAAATAGAGAAGAGCATAGGAGAGTTCATAAAAACTTCGGTACGGAGGCAACCGCCCATGTACACGCATCGTTCACGGGCGTGTGGACTTTGGTGAAAAGATGCTCGAGCACGCCGTTTGTGCCGTTTCCCACATTAGACCAATCGCCTTCGTGAATCTGGGTCTCTATGACCATACGCAGAAAAAAGAATTGTTCAGCTCATCGTTGAAACTCTTGTTGACAGGCGACTCGGTTCATTCACAATTTATAGAGCAGTACTCTGCGTTGATACCACTGCTTCGTTTCCAAAGAGACGGTGTCATGCTCATAGCGATCAATCGATTGCTGCAGTGAGGGATCTATCTACTGCACCGAATGCGCAATTGAATTTAAAAAGCCTGTAGATCAAATACTATAAGAGATGAAGCGATAAAAAATCGCACAGCGTTTTCCAAACTACATTTCTTACTGTATGTCAGAAAAGATCCAATTTTGTGATATCATCAGTGATAAATGATTAAATGATGATATCAATGACAACGACAGATAAGAATGGCTTAAATTCATGCGGTCGATTCCCACGTTCATCTTCCATGTAGGTGCAGAATTTCAGCCCAGGCTTCGGCGTGAAGCGAGTTGAAGCAAAAATGCCATTTTAGGTAAGAATTGGCAGCAGTGGCATGTGCCAATGAGAAATCGATCGATTACTGGAGCGAGGGATCTACCAATTGCACCGAGAAATAGAAAAGCCTGTAGATCACTTATAATCAAAGAAAGAGCGATAGAAATTCACTCAGCGTTTCCTACAGTACTTTTCTTACTATATGCCAAAAACGATTTAATAATGTGATATTATCAGTGATAAATGATAAAATGCTTATAGTGAGTAATAAGGGTGAAAAAAAAACTGCTCAATTTTTCGCGATAGTTTTCGATAATGAGAACTTTGTACCAGAACCTGCTAATCGCGATTAACGCTGTGATAAATGTTCACAAAAGCCTTAACATAGAAAACAACAAGGTATCATTGTATGTCGACCCCGCCACCACGAATTACGGACATACTGTATATCAAATGATTCGTCTCATCAAGCTGAAGCCGTATCTTCTTGCAGATTTCATATAAAATTGTTTTAGAAGAAGTTATAGCTAAATCCCGCTTATCCCGCAAATCCCGCGAATCCCGCAAATCCCGTGAAGGTGCGAATCCCGCGAATCCCGCGAATCCCGACAATCCCGTAGTTTTGGATAAACTCTACCGCTGCAACTGTACTCTAACATGCACATTTTGACCATGCGACCTATGTGAAACCGCAATCGTTGATATATCTTATCTCAAAGACGTGGGAAGACGAGAGGTTGATTTGGGATCCCAACGAATTCAACGGAATTGATCATATATATGTTCTGAGAAAAAACGTGTGGATTCCTGGAATCACCTTAATCAGGTATCTTTTCCTCCACCAATCTACCCAATGATTTGAAGTTTCAGTATGGAGACGCTGGAAACACAACCTGAGTACAAGCAACATGTTTACGTGCGTTTATTGATTTCTTTTATGTATATAATAATTCCATAAAATATTGCAGATCAGCAACCAAGGGAAAGCGACCTTCTACGACTCATTGGTCACATCTGTCGGATGCGCACTTGATGTACACCCTTTATTTGGTTTATTTCTTACAAAAAAGCATCATCTGTTAAACGTTTTTTGACGCTTCTATTAGATCGTAACAAAAGTTTTGTGACACTTTTTTCATTTCCTCTGGGAAATTCCAAAAAAAACTTTAGCAAAGCTTAAAATTTGGTATATATGGGCAATAGACAAAGGATTATCTAATAGCATCATTATTTCCACCTTTACAGATATGGTTTACAGTAAATATAAAGACAAGTGACGGCACTCAATTCTCCATTTTTTATTTCCTCTAGAAAATACTCTCGTTTTTATTTTTCATGCTCTCAGATTTTTCAAGGATTTCTGGGGACATTAGTACTAAAATGAAGGCGGTTTGGAATCCTAGGCTCTTTGAAATCCACTTTTGAACTGTGACATGTATATATTGAAAAGTTACAGCCCTTTAGTCAATTTGGAAATGAGAAAAAATCTTTTGAGAAAGTAATGAAGGTTTCTTTTCCTTTGAATGTAACAAAACTTAGTCACGACCTAACATTTCAAATAGCTCGGCAAAACATGCGTTTTCTTTTCAAACGACTCCTCTACAAGCACTTTCAAACTTTTACTGCATTGCCACAGCATGAGTAGAAGAGATGTAAATATGAATTGAAATCGTGGGCTACCTCGAAAGTATATTTCGTAAATGAGAGCAGAAACCCAATTTACACACTCTACTAACGGATCGAGATTATTAACTGAAACTTTTTCAATATTTGTACTGTATGCCGTTTTCTCATATGCAGTGTTTTCATGAAAACCGGTCGAAATTGTTGAGCAACTACTTTCGTATGCAAAACCTAGCTGGCTTACCTGGCTCCGCCCGGCCTTGTCAAAACACTATGATAAAGGTCCCATCCTCTGTACAACCTTTCCCTGTGCCCACTTCTACATGCCAAATTTCTCTTCCCGCTGTATTAGTAATCAGCATGCTCACTTACCCCCCTTGTGCCAAGTCCCAGCCCCATAGCTCAAACTTTGCAAAAAACGATAAAATCGACAAAAGTAACAGAAAATTCTGGAAATTATCGTATTAGCACTAGCTGGCTCACTCGGCTCTGCCCGGCCCTGTCAAAACACTATGATAAAGCTCCCGTCCCTATCTACGCACAGCCTTTTCCGTGCCCACTTCTACCCAATTCCCTATTCCCGCTGTGTTAGTCAACAGCATGCTCACTTACTCCCTGTGCTCCCAGTCTCGTAGCTCAACGTTGCAAAAATTGATAAAATCGATGAAAGTAATGGACGATCCCAAAATCAGTACTGTATTCGTAATCACCATGCTCGATTACCCCCCTGTGCCAACTCCCAGCCCCGTAGCTCAAATTTTGCAAAAAATCGATAAAATCGATAGCGATCGATAGGGAAGTAGCCTACGACACCCGCCCTGCTCCAAAGTGTGTGCGTACCAAGATTGGTAAGGATCGGTTTAGAAATGGAATTTTCTATTCGGAACATGATTACACACATACAGACATGCATGCAAACAGACATTTAGCTTTATATTAGGTCGTTTTAAAAGTAATTTCGCTTTTTTCAAACGGGCGCCACATTTGATGGAACAAAGGTTTTTAGAAGATTTTGGAAGCATTCGATGCAGCATTTCATTCTCTTTCTAATGACCCGTGCTTTTTGAATGGTCAAGTTTCACGATTTTTTTAAAACTTTCATATCAATCCTCAGAAGGAGTTCAAGTAACGATTCGATAGACTATACCATATAAAATACGGTACTACTTTTTTCTCTTTTTCTTAGCTCGCCATAATTTTTCAAAAGATTTTTTAACGGAACCATCGGATTTTGGCAGGCCCACCTTAGCCACAATCGCATCAACCATCATAATTCTTCCAACGTTGAGACTACCAAGATGGTATTATGAGTTAGCATTAATTTTACAAAGCAAGTGAAGGTTCGAAATATCAAATTTCGAGTTTTCGGGTACAGCCTGGGGCTCGTTGGAAAAATAAGCTATGAGGGTTTTGGTTCCGAAGAATGAACGAATCGGAAACCAGAAACATCCTTTCGGAAGAGAAGAAAATGCTGCATCGAATAATGCCCGAGCTGCTCTTCTTTTGATGTCTACGAGGATTTAGCTGCCCAAATATAAATCGGAAGCATCAGTAAATTCTGTTAAAAATGTATGACAAGCTATGGAAAGAAGAAAAAAGTAGTACTGTATTCTATAAGGTTTACTCTATCAACTCGTTACTTGAACTCCTTCTGAGGATTGACACGAAAGTGAAAGTTTTAAAAAAGTGTGAGACTTGATTATCTCAAAAAGCGTAAATCGCAGTTTATAACACAATTTCATAACCATTAGAAAGAGAATGAAATTCTGCAGCGAAAGCCTCCAAGATCTCTTAGAAACCTTTGTTCCGTCAAATGTGGTGCCCGTTTGAAAAAAGCAAAATTACTTTTGAAAAGACCTAATATATAAGATTATTATTGTTACTCTTATAAATTCATTGATATCAGACAAGTGCATTTTCAGGTGACCGACTTTCCTTTCGACTACCAAAACTGCAGTGTGAGCCTTGTAGCGCGTACGTTCAACAGTCACGAAATCATGTTTCGAAATGTCATTTCTGAGAACCTGGATATAAGCATGGTGGTAAGCCATAAATGATCAACAAACACAAAAAAGCACACTTTTATTAGGGGAATGATGAGTGGGAGATTACCAACATCCTAACTTGCACATACCTTTACAACTCTACCGAAGACCATTCCGTGGTGACAGTGAGTAATTCAAAAATGATGTTGTTCAGAGCATTACCTGTTCAGGATAACTTCGTTTTTTACATGAAAAGAAATGCAACCTACTACATAATGCTTATTGTGCTTCCTTCATTCATGCTGACACTTTTATGCGTAGCAGGTCTCTTTTCCTCATCTTTATTAGTGGACGAATTGAAAAAGGTTTGATACTCTTTGAAAAACTGCAGTCCAATCAGAAAATTTTTTAGGTTACCATAGGCCTTTCCACAATGGTATCGACTGCCGTCACGATCAGTGTCGTTGCTGACAACATCCCCAAAACGAAACATTTTCCGAAACTCGGCAAGTCTAAGATTTTTGCTTTATTGTCAAAACTAGTTAAATGATTGGCGTTGAGCCCACATCGAAAATGCAAATGTCAAGCTGGTGATACTGAGAAGCAAAGGGGGTATTTCAATCACAATTCACATACACTATTTACTCACTAATGTTTTTGTTTCATTAATGTTTCATAAGATTAAGCCCACGATTAACATGCTCAACAATCTTGCTTAATTCGCGTATTCTCAACAGGTCTTTTTGCTTCCAAGAATAAGCAAACGACTTCTTTGCAGCACACATATAATAAAACCAAATTTTTTGTGCATGGACACGGTTAACAGAAAAACGAATGACTGAGGCCTGTAGTAAACCCCTGTTCAGCGCAACTAACCTGGGGGCGAGACTTAACTCTATTCTGAACGTAAAGTGCCTCAGTCCGCCTTCCAGCGAGCTATTTGTCAGGTGCGGTATTTATCAATCTCCCGCTCGCTTTTCGGGCCGTCGTTAACGAGTGCCCGTACAAGCGAGAGCACCCCTCCATGATTTGATTTATGAAAGTCTGGGAGCCGCGGCGTAAACGGGAAGCGCAGCCGACTCGTCGAGATTGAGACTGCCGCGCTTGACATGACCAAACTTGCCAGATCGGACACGCAAGCTCACGTTCCACACTAATTTATGTCCAAACACTATGGAAAGATGCTTTTTGAAAATTAGCTCTTTTCAGTCAAGACATCATTCTACAGAATTGACGTTATTGACTGAATTGAATTTGATGTTCCTATTTTCAAAGCAAAAAGTCATGAAAGTAAGTCACTTTTTCACTTTGGTATGAATACATAAACACCAGTGGTGCCCGGGATTTCCGTGGGGGGGGGGGGACGAAGGGGGGAATTTTTCTGAAGGGTGCGTTGCGTTAGCCGCGCACTCCGAAGATTTTTTTGGGCGCCCCCCCCCCCTCAGATAACCGCCGGGGGCAGGCGGCCATGCGAATTTTGAGCAAGCGCGCACCGGAAAAATAGTTCGTTGATTTTTTGCGGCCCGCTTGCAGAAATTTGGAAGAAAGTTGGTAAAATTAAAGACGAATGCTTGAAGAACAATCGCGGTTTCTTCATGGATTAGCTGCGGCGCAGTGGCCGCATTCTCGCGGACTTTCCGCAAGAATATGCAAAATTTTCGAGGGCCGCACGGTCCTTTGTGGAGGACCGCGCAACCCCCAGGTACTTTCCGCTGGGAGAAAGTACCTCAAACTTGAGTAATTAAACCAACGGTGACACCTCTGCCACACAGAGTCTTACCTGCGCTCGACGTACGCCCGAAAATGATTCAAAAGAGTCCGAGCGGTCGCTGAAAGTTTGGCCAGCGCTCGCAGAAAGAAATTATTTGCCGAGCGCTTGCAAAAAATGCTGTATTGCTGCCCTCTGGCAGAATATGCGACCGCAAAGGAAGTGCCGCCCGCTGAAGGTTTGGCCACGCCCCAAAATTCTGCTGACCGCCTGCAGAAAAGCGCGAGTTTGCGGACCGCCTGACCCTGGCGATTATCTGAGCCCCCGAGAATGGGTCGCGAAATTTTTGAAAGTTACTTACATGAGTTATAAAAATGTGCAAAAAACTTATTTATATTTGTATGTAATTGAAACAATTTTTTAAATTTTCTAAAAATTCATTTTACCCCTATAAAAAAATTTTTTTCGGGGCGTGGAACGCCACGCACTTCTTTGAAAAAATTTTTTTTATCGCCCCCCCCCCCCCCGAGCCGAAATCCTGGGTACGCCACTGGCAGCAGCCTAATCAGTTTCGCTTCATATATCGCGGGCGCCGGTGCCCGCTGCTTTATGGGCTGTGACCTGTACAGGAACCCCTTTCCATATAGGAGATTGATGAAAACCACCCCAGGATGCGGGTCGTTTCTTGGCTTAAGATCTTGTGCCTCAAAAGAGAAGTGCTGAGCAGGGTCGAACGCTAAGCGCGAGCCCATGAATTGAGACCGGCTAGCGGTAAATTTTTGCGGCGACCGAGAAATCTTCGATAGTGGCCGCTATCAAAAAAATTGACGATGACTGATGCTATCATGGAATGCATTTAGCAATTAGCTGGGTAAAAGAAACAGCAAAACTTGGCGAAGATTTTATGAAAAAATAAAAATAACCTAAATATAATTAAACAATCAAGAGAACCTTGTTTTGAGCAGTGCCAAAAGAAAAACACAAGGAAAGTTTGAAGAAAAAAAGTACAAGCTCTATTTTTGCTTTTCTCGCCGCAGTCAGTTGTTTGTCGATCCTTTCCCATTTAACCTCCCGAAATTGCGCAGTTTTGGGAGTTTTGCACCGCAACAATACATTGGAATTGCTCTGTAAGTAACTCACTAGCAACTTACAAGGATTTTGTCTATTCATCTCTTTTGCACACTATCTTTCTCGGTTCACCCCTCGACTAAGTAGCATTCTGTTGAAATGACCATAGCACTCACTTAGCCGTGGTCTTCTGACTTTTAACTGACTATCTCAAAGCACGGGAAGTTGGAAAATTTTAGGTTCACCCTAAGAAGTTCTTCTAAATGATTGATCTCAGGTGAACCGATTGTGAGATGAATAGGGGTTTACTACGGGCCTATGACAAAATAATGCGCTTGAAGATTGTGAAAAGCTTTTGTTGTGGATGATCCCGCAACGAAGAGGTACCTAGTTTTGCAAAACGCATGTGACGGTATGAAACCCAATCCCGCATAAATGCACACTGAAAAAAAAAACAAGATAATGTGTAAAACGATTGGATCTCTGGCTTCCACGGCGGCTTTTATGTGGTGGAAGTTTGCACATTATCTGTGTTAAATAACACCTTCATCCCAATGGCACAATTCACAACTAATCTAGGAAATTGAAAAAACAGCTATCTCCAAATGCGAAAAGATCGCGAGCCTGAGATCAAGGAACTTGAGAAATCTATGGTCCTTTAACGGGTCAACAAGCTGATCACCTCAGTCTCTCGGCTTATATATTCGGCAGACCCCTCTTGTTGATTCGCCGCTTTGCTCTACGGTGGAAGTTTTAGGGCCGCATGCACTGACATACCCGCTGGGAGGAGATCGCAGCCAAAAAGAAAGCCTTATAGAAGCTTTAAGCTTCATAGCTTCAACTGAAGCTCCACATACAGTGCTGGACATAATTATACAGCCACTCTAGAAATCGTCGTAATTTTTGTTCTTGTCAATGAATCTGTCTGAAACTTTGCTGTATTGTGCGCATGTCAACCTACCATAACCCCTCAAAACGGCTTCCAGTCTTGTTGAGTTTGAACGGAGAAAAACGAAAAAAATCGAAAAAGCCCTCTTTGAAAGCTGGACAAAATTATACAGCAACCTGGTTTTTCTAATCACTATCGCATTCGTTGACTTTCAAATTTTTTTGTACAATTACATCCGTAAATATGAAACATTTGCGACACTTACGTCTTCCTACTCAAATAGAAGCAATCGCTGCATTTCTTGCTTTTAAAAGCATTAAAAGTCAATCTCCTTTAACAAACAACTGCTTTAAAGAGTTTTCAAGCTCTTGTTCATTCCAAATGATAATCATGGAATCTACTGACCCTTTTGGATAGATGAGGTGAAGAGCGCTTTCGTAAACTCTGCGTAATCGTTGATTTTGACGAACAGACTCCAACCTCAACATAGGCTTGGAACGCTTTTAAACCACAAAACTCAGTTTGCAATGTCCACAAAGTGCTGAACTTGATTTATCACATTGTCTACATGGGGATACAGCTTTCGCAACAACTTTCAGATTTTTCCTAACGATGGGGTAACGATTTAGACCTGGAATACTTTCCACAAAAATTCCCTGCGAGCGGAAGATTCGATATAACCCTAAATCTCCTTATTTCCGTCTGTGTTTCATGTCTTATTTCACCCGATGAATGAGATTAGCTAAGGAGTTGTTGAAGTGTTTGAAGTTTTAAGCGTCTCCGGTTTTATCTCGTGATCTGAGTTGGCTTTGATTATACAGGGTGCTCCACTCAACATTCAGTGAATGTCAACTGCGGCTGAATCAGAGTGCTCAGTCCCGAAATTTCTTCCCAGTCATGCACACGAGTTCACTGTTGTATGGCTGTCGTAATGGCTACATTACAGTATTTTCTGTCGCTTGAAAATCGAGTTTCGTGGTGCAAAAGTGCGTCAACCCTATGGTGAGGTTGGAGTCTGTTCGTCAAAATCAGCGATTACGCAGAGTTTACGAAAGCGCTCTTCACCTCATCTATCCAAAAGGGTCAGTAGATTCCATGATTATCATTTGGAATGAACAAGAGCTTGAAAACTCTTTAAAGCAGTTGTTTGTTAAAGGTTAAAAGCAAGAAATGCAGCGATTGCTTCTATTTGAGTAGGAAGACGTAAGTGTCGCAAATGTTTCATATTTTGGGATGTAATTGTACAAGAAAATTTGAAAGTCAACGAATGCGGTACTGATTAGAAAAACCAGGTTGCTGTATAATTTTGTCCAGCTTTCAAAGAGGGCTTTTTCGATTTTTTTCGTTTTTCTCCGTTCAAACTCAACAAGACTGGAAGCCGTTTTGAGGAGTTATGGTAGGTTGACATGCGCACAATACAGCGAAGTTTCAGACAGATTCATTGACAAGAACAAAAATTACGACGATTTCTAGAGTGGCTGTACAATTATGTCCAGCACTGTATGTAGATTCACGCTATCAACCTATCCGTAAGTATTCTCACCATCCACTATGAACACAGTGTACGGAAGCAGGAAGCTGTACAGGCCGCATATTCCAGCTTTTTGTACGATCCCTTAGTGATCCTACGTGGCCGAACGTCTTTTCTTCACAGTTATTTTTCCTCCTTCAAAGTTAACGAAAACCTTCCACAGTCACACTGATTGTCTAACCCAAAAATGCTAAGCATGTTGCTAATAAGACTAAATGAGTGAAACCCTCAACTTTTAACTTGTGGTTCATCGCAAATTTCATGAATTCGTGACATCACTTGTTCTTAGCAGAAACATGAATGGCACTGTTGTGTGGATAAACAGCGCAACTTCAGAATGTTTTTACTGAACGCGAAAACAGAAGAATGACTTCAAAGTAAAGGCGGTCGGCAGCTGGCGTTCATCAAGAGATCATACAAAAAGCTGGATGCGACTTGTACAGCTCCTACTTAATGGATTCATAGTAAAGGACGGTGGGAATACTTACGGATAGGTATAGGCAATTCCCATGCGTATAGCGGGCGTGATATGTGAACACGTTGAAAAGTTGAACCCCCACTTTAAAGGATCAGTTTTTTGTACTCTCTAGCCAGAGCACGGCACGAGTCGGTTTCTAGGGATTTTTGCAAAGTCTCCCCTAACTTTCAGAAGTCTTTTTTGAGCTACCTACTTAGGAGAAGATAAAAACAAGAAAAATTTACTAATCTGAAAGGGAAAACATGAGATAAGAGTGAAAATCCAAACTGGAGCTGAATGCTACGCTTGCTCAAGAGTTTGCATTGGAGCACGACATTTAACAAAGCGATTTACGATGAAATTAAGGCAAAAACAACCAACGGAAAGGCAATGATCTAAAAATGTCTTCATGCTCAGGGATAGATTTTTGAGGAAGCCGTCCATGATAGAAAAATCCGAAAATTATGGAAGTGACAGAAATATATGCTCCAGACGATCTCAGATCGTCTGGTGGCCGTCTGCAAAAGAACTGATTTTGGAGAAGGTAATACTTCACATAAATTTTCAAATCTTTTCGCATAATTCTTTTGCAAATAATGTTCTATGGGTACAGTTCAAATTTGGTGCCATATGATTCTGCAGCGCCGTAAACAAGCGATTTGTTTATTTTAGCCTTGCTTTCGAATCGCGCGCACTTTTCCCCATACACAACAGAACACAACAGAATCAATCGTGTGATAACCTATTCGAAAAGCTTGTATTCGACTAAATGGCGTTTGGTGCTCGGCCTAAATTCGTCATAAACGATATCTCCTTTGCTTTTTACTCCAGAAACGAAGTCTAGCATGCCTCCAGATGATCTGTGCCGGGCCCTGTCTCTAGCTATCAAAAGCTACCACGCGTATACGTTGGCAAACGTCGGCAAAGCTCCGCCTGCTATACTGTGGAGAATGAATGAATGAATGAATGAATGAATGATAGATGGCGTGAAATCAAGATATCTGGAGCTTCAGGATATGAAGCTTTCGGGATGTTAGTGCCTGCGGGCCTTACGGCACATTGCATAAGAATTTTAGATAGAGAGCGTGACGAAATTTTCCTGGAATAGATTGCAACTGCCGCCTAAGCGTTCAACTCTGATTTTATTTGTAACCTACTCCCTCTATAACAAACGGTCGAATTCATTTTCTTGGAGCATTATGTGTGATGACCGAGGGAACTCATGCTCGGACTTGAGAGATGTAGAAAATCACAGCGAGCTCAATACCGGAGGGTTATGTGATCTATAACTGTAGATCATCTTGGTGTATCTACAGTATGATTCACTCGTCTGCCGCGACTGCCTTTTTCCGGTGCAGATTACTCGAGTTGCAGTGGTCTTCCGGTATGTCCTCTACACCGACATTTTATTTGGTAGCGAGATTGTGAGAAGGTCGAAAACTAGCAGAGTTGGAGGAAACGCTTGATGGTCTGGAATTACGTATGACATATGACACTTAGAACCATTCAGGCCTCTGAGGAAGACGAAAGGCGTCGAAACGTAAGGCCGTAATTGGAATAAATAAAGACCTCTTCTCAAACCTGTACGGCACAAAACAAATTTGAACTTACCAGAGGGACAATTTTTAGAAGAAGTTACTCGAGTTTTGTTACCTCAAGTTGGATTTGTAAATTCTTGATAAAGTGCGGAACTGTTAGGCACATGAGTGTGACCCTTCCTAGTAGAAGAAAGTTGTAGAACTCAAAATTTTCTCAGAAAATATCTCAAGAAATGAATATAACAAAAATCAATCTTGCTGCGTTTCTTGTTGTCTCCTTGTAACTCATAATTCTTCATGTTCGCTCAATTGCTCACTTGAAAAGGGTAGCCACAATATAAGGTCAGCGTTGCAAACTTCAAAAATTCTAATTTCAAACTTGGATAGTTTTTTCTCTTCTTCCAATCCTAAAATTAGAACCTTTGCCTTATTATAAGATGCTCTCTGCTGTAAAAAAAACTGATATGGTTTTTTTTTTAATTTTAGGTGAGTGTTACCCCTTACCCCTGGTCTCTTGTGATTTTTAAAACAAAGATGAGTAAAAAAAACCAAAGTGAATGTTTTCGGCGCTGATTGTAAGCACGGACGCTCCAAAATGTGTCTTCCAGCATTGAGAGACTTATCTCGCTTTTTATAAGCTCTGCGGAAAGCTGTATTACAAAATTTAGGGATTACACTTGCTTGCCCCCCTAAGAATACAAATTTTCGGCTGATCGGCTGATTAGTTAACGTGACGTGGACAAACCGCAAATTAATGACACGCTCAATTACGATATCTTCTTTCGACTATGAACTCAACCCAAAATTTAATCGGATCTGACCTTTTTCAAATGTTTTTTAGGGTTTTACGTCTTCAATAATCTTGTCATTGTATGCGTAGCAACTCTTCTCGTCACTGTGCTACCAAAAATCATCAGATTCCTTTACTGGACTTGCAGGTTGGCTCTTTCAGCGGTATTTCAGATTAATTTAAAGTTTCTTCGCAGATGTTGTCAGCTCAAATGCGTGCGCGGGCGCAAAGATATCTCATTTGCCCTGAATGTAATGCTTCTGGTGATCTTCGAGGGATGCGTTCTGAGCCGATTTATGTTTGTTGTAAGTCGACTATGGAAACTCAAGACACAAATTGAGGGTGGTCGCTATTATTCGCTCTGTAAAATTCCTGTATACCCAAGATCAAAATAAACGAATAAAATAATTAAAATTAAGTGAAAAGCTCTGTCTTGCGGGAACCGTATTTCGAGCTTCTCAAAAACTTTCGAGCATTGCTCTGTAAATCTTTTTTCACTTGATATAACAATCATTATTAATTTTTATTACATGAAAGATTATAACAATTTTCAAAAGAAGTGCGTTTATCACGATTCGCCAACACTCGTCACTAGGACTGCAAAAGTCATCCTAAATAAAGATGAACTCACGCAGGTGCTTTTCCCTCGTTTGTGTGACTTGAACTATCTAGGAAACAGCTAAAGAGTATACGAAGGCGTCAGACGAAAGAAGCTGAGCAGACTTATATATTTGAAAGGAAAATTGAAATTTACTCCAACATTCAGATTGGTTTTTTCCTCTTTTGCCCTAGTTCAGCGCTGAGAATCGGCAGCAAGAAGAAAAATTGTCAAATTTTCAACATTAAAGAACTTTCCTGTTGTGGCGCATATCGCCAAATTTATCGAGTTGCAGTTTCGGCGATGAGAAGCTCAGAAATGACGCATGAGGTTGCTCAGTCGAATTTTTTTTAATTTTTGGGTAAACAAAAACAAGAACATTTTGTTGGCACACTAGTTGCTTTGCTACTAGGGAGTCAGCTAATTCTCTATGTTTTTCAGCTGTCAAAAGCCATGTCCCAATCGACGGATATGCAAAACGCCGGACTTCAATGCTGAACCGTTTGACACCATAATCATCACTTTGTCGATATCTTTATGTCCTCAGTAGCATACATTGCAATTTGAAAATTGTTGACATAGCAATTTAGGCGGTTTTAGAATTCTAATGAAATTTTACTTCCTTATAATTGTTACTGCACAACAATAGGGTGCTCGCCAAAACTACTTTAGTGAGAACGACCCGATCTCATCTGAAGCTGCCCAGTTAACATCAATTACGCGGATTACGCGGAACGGTCTCGACAATCAAGACCTATCAACACATTGAATTGTGTGAACCAGGCACTTCTAGAAGGAAAATGACTGTAAAGAGAAAGGATGTGAGCCCCAAGTAATAGACTATGTTAACATAGAATACAACAACAACAGACGCCTTTCAATTTTAGCTTGCTATGCAACTTGGAATTTAGCCTACTGCTTTCCTGTTCCCGTGGGCCCAACACAGATAGTTCGGAATCAAACTGCACTTCGTTTTTTAGGTAGAGCAAAGAAGATACCGTTTGGGGTCCGGGTTGGATAATAAATCGCGTATGATGTGCAAAAATCGATTGCAAGTAGTTTATTCAGGTGTTTTTGAGAAGAGTCACTAATTGGCCTTTTGTACTTAGATTACCAAATTTGCAAGGCAGTTCAACATATATAGTCGTCCCGAAAGTAGTTGGTTGAACAAGCGCCACATTCCGCGGAACAAGCATTCGTAAAAGGTCTTGGTGACTTTTAATGCATTTCAGCTTTTCAAAAAGCCTTGCATACAGGGTGTCCCAAAAAATGTGAACACTCTTTTATCGTTAATAACTCCCTTGCTTTCATGTCTTTCGCCAAGCTTGAGGCACCATTCTGTAGGGCTAGGTTCAACTTAGATTTATAGTATGGAGCAAATCACGATAACTCTTCGTCACTGTAGGATTACGGTAAGAACTTCTAGCATGTGGACCCATTGTGAAATATGCCAATCCACAAAATTTTTCCCAAAAAATCTGAACAATCGTGTATCAGGGTTTTTGCGCACGCTGATTCCACTGCACAATTTATTACAAGCGTTCTTAGCTTTTTTGACGTGTAATCACATTCTTGACAAATGCTGGGAAGTCAGTTATTACGATTTACCTGGGATGACCTTGGGAAAAAGCATCACAGTAGAGTGGAAATTTCATATTCGCAATCAGCGGCTTCCATTACCATAGTACAAGAGTTTTTGGCCTGTTTGGTTTTGTTTCGAAGCAGAATATGGCCTCCAATGGCCTAAATCCTTGTCAAAATCGCTACCGTAATTCTACAGTAATGAAAAGCGATCGATGATTCGCTCCGTACTGTATGTCTAAGATGAACCTCGCTCTATAAAGTGGTGCCTAAAGCTAGGCGAAAAGCTTGAAAGCAAGGGAGTTATTAACGATCAAACAGTTGCCCAAATATAAGGTCGTTCCGAAAGTTCTTTCCGTTTTTTCAACCTGTCATAAAAACACGTGAAATGAAGGTAGGGAAACTCTGCAAATACCTTCCGACGCAGCTTTTCTTCCTCTTTCTGAATATCATATATATGTCCCGCTTGCTCCTGCGGTCATTAAGATAATTACCGAAATTTGGAACCCATGGTTTTTACCATGTCCAACTTCGGCAATTTTTCACTATCTTCTTTTTTGACTTTTGGAAAAGCTTTGATAGCAGTCGGATAGAGTAAACAAAGTGCAATATTATGCAATTTTTCGGCATCTATAGCTAGCCTCAAAACATTTTTAGAATTATTTTTCTGATGTTATCAAATCTTTTGGGGATGCCAGAAGCCATAGAACATAAAACGGCACACAACTAAGGTGTCATTCGATGCAGCTTTTTCTCGTCTTTCTGATGAGAGCTTTTTCTTATTAGTTTGTGGGGTCTTTGACGATAACTTTTCCATAAATCTTGATTTTGAACCCGCCTCATGATGTGCTCGTGAAATGCGAAATCTTATATTTCGAAGCGAAACCCTCAGTTACTTTGTACAAATACAATCATAAACAACTTTTGAAAGTTTCGAAAACCGAAGATTTGTTGATGTTCAGAAAGTTTGTGTGTTTTGTGACTGTGAAAAAGTGAAGACTTCTGAAAAAGTTATCTCAAAAAATAATGAGAAGCCAGCTGAAATTGCCAAAAAATTGCATTGCATTGCACTTTGTTTACTCTATCCGATTGTTAACAAAGCTTTTGCAAAAGTCAAAAAAGAAGATAGTGAAAAATTGCCAAAGTTGCACGTGGTAAAAACCATAGGTCCGAAATTTCGACCATTATCTCACTGACCACAAGAGCGAGCGACACAGGAATATGATAGTTGAAAAGAGGAAGAAGAGTTGCGTCGGATATTGCCTAAAGCATTTCTCTTTCTTCGTTCCACATGTTTTTATGATATGATGAAAAAACGGAAAGAACTTTCGGAACGACCTAATATTAATGCGCTGAGCACTTTCTGTGCATTTCTGCTAAAATATATTCTCTATAATTTCAAAAAGGTGAAGTTTTTTGATTACAGAATATGATAGAAATTTATCTAGTCTTAGCTTTCAGTGATTGAGCAGTTTGTTCTCTACACTCTCGCATTGCAAATCATCAACTCACCAAATATATTCTGCATGTCAAAATTCCTCCTCTTAGTAATTTTATCGCGTGTATCTGCTCATTTGCTGTTCATTAGCTGTGTACCTAACGTTTCTCCTTCAAACTGAGCGAGGGAACCATCTGGTGTCATGGCTAATGGAAGCTCAATTGTTCTACATTATTTGATTTTTTTGTAGTTTCCGATGTTATATGTTTTAAAAGGTTATTATTCTTCTAATGGCGAAGAATTTATCAATTTTTGCTTATTCAAACAAAAACCTATCAGTGAGCGCCCTGCAAAACGTTGCCTCAAATGAATGAGGTACGCCCAACCCTCCTTTCCTGTCAAGCACAGCAGGAACAGTTACTGGCGCTGCGCTATCAACCGCCACTTGTTAGCACACTATCAGTTTGCACCTATAATGCGGAGTATGAAGGAGGCAGGGCTCACCTAAGCGACTTACAAATAGATAATACAAACCAAATCTTGCTTATTGATTTAAGAGAAAGATGTCGCAAGTGACTATATTGCCTGTTGCCTTGTTACCTTTAACTTGAATTCTAAGTATCTGTAGCACAATGGCAGTGCGCGGTCGACACTCATCGAAGGGTTCGACTTGCGTGTGCGCGCTCAAGTTTTGCGGCTACCAAGGAATAGTCGTGAGCAGCATGTTCTTCAGTTAGAAACATCGCGACCTCGCTTTTTTCACATTACAACATACTTCGGCTGTTTGCTACTGGCCCTGAGGTGGCTCAGAAGAAAGCTTAAGCGCCGAGCACATAATGCCCCAAAATCAAACATGCAAACATCACTATTTCCTATCAATGTTTTTGAGTATTTCTTTATACTGTGTTTCTATTTGCTTTCCTTCATGAGCACCCCATAAAGTACGTAGTAATAGTGTTGCGATTTCAAGAGTACTTAGTCTCAAGAAATTGCTGGAGCCAAACCTTGCGGAGCCTCTACGCGACCTTTTGAAAATGAAAGCTTTGTAATTCACTTTGTCGAAACTACTCGCAACGACTTTCTCAAAAAAAATTATCAAATATTTAGCTAGCAAGAAATTGAAATTGATTCTGCCGAATGCATGAGAATAGGGTTTTAACAGGAAATAGTGAAGAAAGCAATAGATTTTTATCTATTCACTTTACTGATAAATGTTATATCAGAAATACCAGTACACTTGTAATCTGTTCTATGGAAGTACTAAACTCAATAAATCTCGTGAAGTCGTTCCCGTTCAAGCATTTCCTGTTCTCGTGCCCGTTGGTACTGTAAATAAGCATAGTTAATCCAAAATGTTCAATAATGTGTTCCCACCACCTTGCTGAGAAAGTTGAACTCTGATTGAGCGTAGTAGTTTATGTCATGGTGAGCAGTGTCTGGATCATCAATCTGATTGAGAATTCGAATTTGAAGAATAAAACCTGGAAATGACACGATAATTCACTAATTTATGAAAAGCTCAGAACAGACTAATTTGGTATGGCAAAAAAGATAGTGTCATGGATATGTCTTGACCAGCAACACCTCAAAAAAAGTGAAAACTTGTGATCATTAGTAGGAAGATCATGAAATCTCTGCAACTATGAATTTCCCGAAATTACACCCAGCCATTACAAAGCAGGTATCGTCGAGTCATTTGTAACTTAATATGCCTAGTGCACACCCTACACGCTAACTGACGAAGTGCAAAACTAGAACATGCTCACTTCCTGTGATTTCTCCTTCTTTCCTTATTTCTCTTGTTTTTATTGGTTACAAGTTAGCTAGTAGAACACATTTCTACACTTTGGACTAGAAAATGTTTTACTGGGAAGTTACAAATATGGGTGCCGTCACTAATAGGGTATAGTGTGCAGTCTCACGCATTACGTTACAAATGACTCGAAGTTAAGTAAAATGAAGCATCATTCTTTCAGAAGAACTCAAAAACTTTGGGCTAACGCTTTTGTTCCTGTACGAAAGTCCAAATGCTCGCTCAAATAGTGCGAGGAAGTTGGCAATTTACAACAATTTGCTCAAAATACCGTATCGTACAATGAGGAGGCTCTCGATGATGTATTATGCCTCAAATAATGCAAAAGATTTCGGAAAAAAGGAGATGATACTTAAGCATTCAGTAGTGACTTTATGGTACTTCTCAATGAATGTTCAGACTCGCGCTCCAAATTCTCTCCACTCTGAAGGCAGACATTTCGATGTCTTTGTCTTCTATTAAAAGGATAAAGGATTCGGCGTCTTCAGTACCCTCTGCGGGCATGCGCCGAACGCAACGACTATTTCATAGTCGAAGTATGCGTGCGAGCCTATTACAGTGGCTTGCGGGGGCCAGCCGTTACCAAGTCAGTGCTCTTATCCTCCCAGATTACTCTGGTACCAATTTAACGGCCACGGAAAGTAGAGGGCTTGGTTGGTCCAGGGGCTGGGATCGAATCTGTGTCCGATCTGGTCATAGCGGCGCCTCACACCACTACTCCACTCGCCCCCTTGTCTTCTATTATATTATGCTAAATCCAGGTGGTTTTTGCGGCGGTTTACTTCACTTTATTGAATCGCCCGACGACTTTGACTGAGACGCCGTCTTTGGAGACTGAGAGCAAATTGTAATCTTCTTTCAACATGAAGCAAAACCAGACGCGGGATGTTGCCACCGACGTTTGGAAGGCATAAGGTGGCAGCGCGCGCACACGCATAATTATGGTGAATTTGACGTAAAAGTACAATTCTTTCAATTCTATCGCAGATCTGCGGAAGGACTATGGAAACCGCATGGATTTCCCGTAAGAATCCTAGCACGAACAGCAAGGATGAATGTTTGTCCATAACAAGTGACCTTTTGCCTTTCTTGTCATATGCGAGCTGCAGCACATCTAGAGTTAACGCAAGCTGAGTAATACTCAGTGTTGTCAGCTAATTTTGTGCGGCTACATAAAAATTTTCTAATAACATCACAGGGGACGCTAGGTTCGTTCTCTTCGTCCATAATGTTTATCTTAAGCCTGAAGATGGCGTTCGGCGTTCTCTCTTTGAATAAGAGAAGACCACAATTTGCTCTCAGACCTCCGAAGACGACGTTTGATCCTGAACGCGTTAGGTAATAAAATGCACAACCGTAAAAATCTGGATCTGGCATAACGTAATAAAGACTTTATCATGTAATACTTTTTATTTTATTTCTGATTTATTTTCTATTTTCTTCTTGCACTCTAGAAAGAATCACACAGACCTCACCCTAGACACATTTCAAACTTCTGCTTTTTTTCTTGCGCCGTAATTTTCGCAAAAGATAATTTACTATTTACAAAACCAGACCACCTAACCTGTGATTAGTCCACCAAAGATGGCCATTGCTAGCGCAGTGCCCATGCCAGCCAGTTGATACAAGGCTTGCGTCTCGCGATTTCTATCACCCATCATAGGGCCACCTTCGAAGTACGGATATATGTGGTACAGCCTAGAATTGTAAAGGTTCTGCATAAAAAATTCAGAACATCACTTGAAAGCTTACGTTTTTCCATAGCTTTCTGGCTCGTAGCCGAGCGCGAAAATTATGCTAAAGATCTGGAAGAAAGCGATATAAATAACACAGAAATTCACGAAACTTGTAGGAGGTGTTTAAATTTCGAATTATAAGAAACCTTACCCCTGCAAGAATTCCAGGTATTCCATGAAGATTATGAACACCACAAGTGTCGAATAGTTTGAATCTTTTTTCGAGTTTTGGCTGAAAATATTTGGCTGTGGATTATGCCATTTGTTTCTGGGTCAAACATACACTGAGCCATGCATGTCCAATAACCGACACGAAACTGGCACAAATACCAACAGCTACAGCATGTGATGGGTAAAGCACTGCATTTGCTGCTGAGCCTGAACCAGAATAATTTCAGTTACAATATTAATAGCAAAAACCACAAGTAGCTTCGGAATGCTGATTTATGATGATTAAAGACAAATAAACTGATCGATTTATCGGTAGAAAAACGGTTTCTTTAATGATCTAAGAAAAGCAGGTAAATTTGCTAACCTATAGCTACGCCACCGGACAGAGTGGAACTCTGAATATGAATCATGTTGAAGCGTCCAAGATTATCCACAAATGAACTCAGTATGAATGTTGTGACAGTCCCACTAGCCATTGCAAGATATGTGTTCATAATGGCTCGATGACGAGCATCCTCTGCAAAATGCTAAAATTGGTAGAAAGAATTGTCAATAAAATTTTCTTGGTTGGAATCATTGCTTCAATTTTTCCATAGTATTTTCCTGCCTAAATTTTTAAACGATACTTCAGAAAAATGCACAAGTAACGCTACAAATCACAAAATGAAGAAGGAGATGAGGACGAAGAAGAAAGATTCAGTGAAGTATCTCATAATCAGTCAGGTTTAGAAACTTTTGTTCGGAGAGTTAGGGGGGGGGGATTTTTTGCATAAGAGCAAAGCCTCGAAAAATTTTCTGGTATGCTCCTTATTTTACTCGTAGGTCTATAACCCCAAAATCTTCAATTTTACAATAATTCAATTTGTCAATTTCAAAGTCAATCACTTATTTACAAGTAAAAACAAGTTATTTGCACAATTTTTTAACTCATGCAGATAACACAAGAATTACGAGGCCGTCACCTCCCCCCTCCCCCCCCCCCCCCCCCACTCCCCGTGGGTGCACCATTGCTTATAATACAATATGGTTAAGTTGCCAGCACGAACTCACCAGGTTCCTGAACGGCGGCGTTGAAAGAAGGGAAGAAAACCCAGAGAAGAAGGGTTCCTGAAATGAGAAAATTTCTTCCGAAAAACTCAGCTTCTGCTTTTTTCCAACCAAAAGTTCTCGACCAAACAATTTCGAATTCAAAGCAAAAAATTTTTTTCAAAGAGGTCTAGAGTTAAAAGATTGCTAAAGAAATTTTCACGAAAAACAAATTTCCCTTCATTTTTTCATCCAGAAAGACTCGATCAACAATGCACAATCGCGTGGATAAGTTTAAGAATCAAGAACCCTTGTTTTGAAAAGATAGGTAAGAAAATGCGCACCAATCATAGAAAAAAGATCCGAATGATGTATAGAGCCCTCTTCATCCATTTCCATGACATTCTTTTTCTTTCCAACCATTGCGGCAGCCAACCCGAAATAGGCGCCAAATGCATGAACCACAAGTGAGCGGCCTCCATCATTAACCTGTACAAATCATTTTTTTGTATCATAAATAAATTTATCGAAGTTCTAAAAATAAGGAAGACCCACGTGAAGGATGTTGACTACTATGTGATCAACAAACACTGAGATGCTTGTTTCGAAAAACGCCAACAAGAGAAACTGCACTGGTGTCATTCGCCCCAATAACACTCCCATAGTAATCAAAACAACAGCACATGAAGCATCGGCGCAAATCATTCTAGAAATTCTTTATAGGAATTTCAGCAATATGTCAAGAATAAAAAATGCATACTCTGGGACTCCAAGGGTAAATGTTCCTGTTTCTTGAAATTGTTTCGAGAAAAATCCGCGCAAAAGCATGGCCCATTGGATCACAAAGGCTGAGAGGAGAAGATTTACAGATACAGCAGAGAAACCATATCTCTAAATGAGGAGTTTTGATAAAATTATCTGGGAAACTTATTTGTAGGAAATTTTTTCTATGAGTAAAAAATGGAATTGTAAAAAAACTTGTTTTATGAATAGAAAAAAATTTTTTTTGATGTTTAGGATGTTTAGGATGTTTAGGATCAGTTTAATGCTTTCATATACGTTCGTTTTTCTTTTATTCCTGTGCATCCTGTGTACAAAAATGCTAAACAGAAAATTATATTATAAGTTTTTCTTCCTAAAAAAATAGCGAATATCTCCCAAAGCGCACAATGCAGAATTCATTTTGTACAGTATTTTGACAAATTTATTAGGTTGGTGCAAAAGTTTTGTCAGTTTATTCAACCCATCGGCTAACACACTGGAATGAAGATAAACAAATATTTCGAAATGTATCCGATGCAGAATTTCTTCCTCTTTCCAGCAGCTAAACTCATATTGTGTTTCGTTGCGAGAGTGATGAGCTATTTGCTGGAAATTGCAATCGTTCGTTTTTACCATGCCCAATTTTCGCTTATTTTCAAAATTTTTGTATGAGACCTAAGGAAGAGCTTCAATAACCAGCAGATAGGGCGAAACTTTTGCCAACTAGTGCAATTTTTTGTAGCCCTACGGCTTGTCTTTCAGAATTTTCTACGATTTATTTTTTGAAGTGACCAAATTTTACATTCAGCCTATTTTAACCCCCTGGAATATAAAATGTTAAACACTTCAGTCATCATTCGATGCAACTTTTTCTCCTCTTTCTAACACTTGTCTTTCTTTGTCAAGACACGCGAAATTTGTGGGGAAAATCGCAGTATCTCTCAATTTCAGGAATGCGCACTGCCGTAACCTATGTTTCAAAATCTTCATAATAGCGAAAGTCGCTCATTTACTTTGTAATGGTCGCGGTAGTAATAATCAAGTGTTGGCACCTCAGTATTCTGGAGGTTTTGCAGTGTTTGGTGCAATAACAGGTTATGCGATTTTTAGAAAACACAACACTTTTAGCAAATCATTTGACAAAAATCTAAAAAAGCAGCTAAAAAAAGAAAAAAATTGCGCAAGTTGGGAAAAGGTTTGTCCTATGTGGTGGTTATTAGAACCCCTCGGAAAGTCTCATCCAAAAATTTTGAAAATTAGTGAAAGTTGGACACGATAAAAACGAATGGTTGCAATTTCCAACAAATAGCTCACCACTCTCGCAACGAAACACAACGGAGTTTAGCAGCTTGAAAGGGGAAGAAATTCTGCATCGGATACATTTCGAAATATTTGTTTATCTTCATTCTAGCGTGTTTGCCGATGGAAAAAAACTGACAAAATTTTTGCACCAACCTAATATTATTTGATAGGAAGTGATACTTTCCGTATGAAAAAAAATTCCTAAATCAACTTACCTTCAAGAATGCCATCAAAAATCCAAACCCGACAAACATCATGAGATGCACGTCCTGGAACACTAAACATCTTCGTTGCTTTTCCTTACGGGCTTTTTATAAGCACTTCAGATTTTAAAAATTTTTTACGAAACTTACAAGGGTAATCGGTTCCACTGTAGATCCTCTTACTATCGTCTAGTGGGTCTATATATCGGCAAAATAATGAGAATAATATGAGGAAAATCATTTGGAAAAATAGGGCTATCACAGAAAATTGGCGTCTGCGCCAAACGCTTTTCGAAGCAGGCATTATGCGCGGAATTTTCTGGAATAACACTTTTGATTCGAGAAAATTTGATTCTAGGAGTGTAATGATTATGGAAAAATTCAGAGAAATTCTAAGAAAAAGTCTATTTGACACTCTCACTAAAACAACAATGACTATATTGGCAGATTGTAATGAAGAATCGATGAGTGCGCAGTGTCGACGGATGAGACGTCAACCGCAATCGACGTCTGGCTGGTATCATTACCACAACCTGCGCGACGATGCACTTAGTCTCGCACGTACAGTTTTTGCCCCCCCCCCCTCTCCTTCCGATGATGCTATCTCTGATAAGTCGACCATGCGCAAGAAACACTTTCAAAGGTGATTATTACGCTGTACGTACAGACTCCCTGAAGTGCACCTAAAAATCAATTTATCAACTTATTGAACGTTCTTTAGAAAAAGAAACTTTGTATCTTCCTTGCGCAATAATATTTCGATTAAAAAGCAGATGGTTTGTGAAAACTCGCAAAAAGCTTAACATTACTGACCATGACGAGACTAGAAAAGCGGAAAACCAAGTTAGTCCGATTTTTTTCACCAATATTCGATTCAAAACAAGTTGTAAGTGGTCAAAGTTAAGCGATAAAAATTACTAAAAAAATCACGTTTGGGTTAGAATCTGAGGGGATTTGTGTTCTGAGGGGGCAAAAATTTTGCAAGTTTTAACGAGCAGCTCATTTATTGATAAGATTTTTCTCTTCAATCCTAATCAAATTCTCCGATTCCAGAAAATTTGCGTGCCAACCGGAATGTCGATTAAAAATCTTTTAATTATTACCTAAACCTCTTCAGCGGTTTGGCTCCAAAAATAAAGATTCGCAAAAACTTGTTTCGTCTTCCTCTCCATCATCTCGTTCAGTAAATGCATTAGGTTGGATCAAAAATCATGTCGTGTGATTTTTGGAGGACAGGAAGGCTCGCTGACATATCCCTTTTCGAAGACTTGATGCTAATCCAAGCAGTTTGTAAATGTATCGTTATGGGGAAATTGACGCTTGGCAAAAATCGAAATGCCTGAGTTTATCCACCTGAAGAAGGAATCGACAGCAAAAAAAAGTTCAGACTCAAAATTCTGTTGAGAGCACCTGAATTCGGCTGCAATGTTTGAGTATCAAACGGAAAATTGCGCTATGGGTAACGCATAAACTGACCATAGATACTTATACTGCTAGAATACTGATATCATCCATTTGGATCACTCTTCCCGTTTAAACCTGAGGAGCCATCTGAAAATCATTTGTTCGTAATATTTTGTCATGAAGGCACACCTTGCTTGTCCCTGCGCTTCATGAGCTTTCAATCCATAAAAACTAAGACGGCATTTGGCTAAACGCTTTTTTCCACTTGTCAAAAAAGGCAGTTTTAGTGTTGAATGTCTCCGCCTAATTGTGCCTATTGAAACCGTTTTGTTTTTCTCCCGCTATTGACATCGGACACTGGATGATGAATGATTCTTCATTATAATGAATTGTAAACGATATTGAGAGAGTAGTCATCATTCACAACTACTGCAAATCCAAAAGCAACAGACCATACTGGCAAAGAACGATGATTTCTGAATTTTTATGATTTATCAACACATTTTCCTTCACTTCTGTTGAATTTATCGATGCTGTTCAGTTTATGATCAATTACTTTGTCAGTCTGGAAAAGACCTTCTTGAGTCAGGTTGTTGGTATCCCTGACATTTCAGCAGTGAATTGGGATTAAGCGATAAAAAAAATTCATCTCCTCTTTGCCTTTTCCTAGAAAAACTGAATGCACGTTTCCCTGTGTCAGTCTTGCCAAGCCCCAAATAAGACATTTAGAATTTCGAAAGCGTTTCGGATGACTATGCAAAATGCAGGCTGTGCAAACAGATCAGTGAATGCTTCTTCTCCAATGAAAAATAAGACATTTAGAATTTCGAAAGCGTTTCGGATGACATAAGCAAATTGCAGGCTGTGCAAACAGATCAGTGAATGCTTCTTCTCCAATGAAATGATCCACTTATAGCTTAGAATAACAAAATGAATTACATTTGGTGGTCGGCAATGTCGTACTTTCTCAACAGCATGAGTTCCCTATTCTAAATTGGATATTTACTAGAAGTACTAGCGGATGAAGACGATGAAATGGATCAGAGGCGGAAGACACAATTTTTATTATTCTATTTCAAGAAACTCAAGAAACAGCTGGTGCGCAATAGGCTTTACGACAGAACTTGTACTACACGAGATTGCGTAGTGTGCCCTTACGGAAAACCCGGTAACTGCGCAAAAACTGGCGTCGTTTACCAAATCGAATGTATGAGCTGCTCCTCCATTTATATCGGTGAAACTTGTCGGCCACTAAGCGTAAGGATAAATGAACACCTAGCTAGTAAGAAACGTCAGAGCATAATAAGCCCACTAGGTAAACATAGGAAAGTAGAACACAGCGGTGATGATTTTGAAATCAAGTGCAAAATATTAGCCTACGAAGATCAAATCTCTTCCCGAAAGGCTTTAGAGGCGTCCTACATACTTGCCCGGGATCCGAAGATGAACGGCAAGAATGAAAAGCTGTCTATCACAAGTGATCTACTACCGTATCTTTCGTTATGCGAACTGTGAGATAGCTGACCTATATTTAAACAGCCTCACATTGTTCCGACTGCTCATTTCGTCACTGCAGTCCATCGAGCAAGTTCTGAAACAGATAAACATTGCTACCAGTGATACACTCGGTGGGTCGATTTCTACGCCCAGCCTCTCGATCTTCATCCTAGATGAATCGAGTACGCAGATGGGAGAAGGGCTTGGCAGCAAGTAGAGTGGTATCAAAGTGAATGACACCTTTCCAGGCCTCTGAAGACGGTGTGTAACCGAAACGTCAGGCAATAAAGTGTATCATTGTTGAAAACCTGTACGGCAAAGAAGATTAACTGAATTTATTCTATTTCATTTTTTCAGTGCACCTCGAGCATAATAGATATAGATGAAGATATATTACATAGTAACATCTTAATCTACATTACAGTGCAATTATACAGCTATGTGCAAACCTCTTTATTAAACCTCCTTTTCAAGGAATTACCCCACATTGTAGTATTGTGATTTGACAGTGAAAGGAATACTCAAATATAAAGTTGGCGTAAGCCTGATCAGTATTCAACAAACACTGCTTTACTTTTAAGGCCCGTATGCACGTACGTCCCCGCTGGGGAAGGGAGGGGAGCTGGATCCCCAAGGGAACGATCCCCTCCGCCGAACCCCGCAATGACAGAGGGGAGGGGAGTGTGAATGGTTTCAGAGGTATTGATCGAGCGAACCCCAGTGCATACGGGGTTGAATGGGGGAGGGGATCCCCTCCCCTCCCCCTCTCGAACCCCGTATTCGCGAATTTAACTCAATAACGCGGGGGAGGGGATCGACATCCCCTACAACGGAGTAGGGGTTCGATGGTGTAGGTCAAGCCAGAGAAGTGAGTATTCTGATTTCAATCAATTATTACAAAGCATTTTGTTCAAATTGATGAAAGATTTTCTATGGGAGCCGGGTTCCTCTCTCAGCGACCTGCAGCTTGCAGTTTTAACTCTCTCTTTTATATTCGCTTCTTGTAAAGTAATCCGGACATATATCTGCCAGTTTCAAATATCTGTAGAACGTTGTGACCATTCACGAGAGTTGAGCATTTTTTATCTGGCATGATAGTTTTATCCATTAAGGCTGGTACAACATATTGTAACTATCGCATTAAATGATAAATTGTTCTTATCTTGTTATCTTATCTGCTTTGAATAAAATGAAAATTAGCAGACTCGCGTGTTTCTGAGTAAAGATCCTCGGAGGGATGATCCCCTCCCCATCGCTCCCCTCGTGCATAGCAGGGATGGCCGCTGGGGATCATTCCCCTGGGGTAAAGGACGAAGCAGCTGATAGCTACAGCGTTTATAAGGAGCTGGCACGATTTGCAGCTTCAGTTATGTGTAGAAATGCTGGTTTTAATGTCCGCGCCCCCCCCCCCCCCTTTTTCGGCAGCATAACGTCTTCTACCCATTCACTGCATATACATACATCTTGACTTCTGTCATTGAACACCTTTAAGCTGAAATGGGCAGCATGGGCGCAAATGGGCAGCATCCATGAAAACAGCAGGAATATAATGGATGTAGGAAATATTTCTTTAGTGTGCCGATCGCAATCACGGCAGACGGCATTCCGCAACGACTAAATATCGCCGAGACACATTGAAGGCGAGTAGCTATCAAAAGATAAGAAAAAGGAATAATTACTGCAAAAAAGCGGAAGCAAAATGAATTCCCCGCTCGATCTCCCCTTCTGCATAAGGGGGCTCCCCTCCCCTACTCCCAGGGGATCCCCTCTCCGGTATTGCCTTTCTGCATACGGGGATTCGCGTGGGGAAGGGAGGGGAGCCCCAGCGGGGATTGCAATGGTTAAACTCACATACCCTCCCCGCGGGGATGTACGTGCATACGGGCCTAAGAATAAGTTTTTTCTTCTAGTACGCTACCAATGCGACCCTGAGTCCTGAGTTACAGTCCATCATCACCTTTCTTCTGACTATTGGAAATGTAACCGAAATTTGGCTTGAGTTGCTGTGCAAAGAGAATTGATTTTTAGCTGCTTGAATAATGATGCTCTTCAAAAAAAGCAGCTTAATGCAACTCTAGCAGTAGCGAATGCGACAGGAAAATAATATCGCTTCCACTTCAATTAAATCATCATCTCTACCAGATTGGTGCCCTCTACAGGTCGGTCAGCGGTTTAGGAAATCCCCAAACTTGATGGAAAAATTATTGGCCGACGATTAGCTAGCACAGGGTTTAAAAATTCAACATCTTCACACTGGAAGTAAATTTTCGGATTTAAATCAACGATAAGTTGCCCATATAAGCACAGCCTTGGTTTTAAAAGAAATGGTTATCCCATCAAGAGCCAATCACATACGAATCTTGACTTTTGTAAGTGTGTGCTAAAAAAGACCCCTCGAGATAAACTGCAGTTTCATATATTCAGTGGCACTGATGTTGAATTTTTCCTCTGTCATATGTTTCTGTATCCCTTGTATGCTTATGAACAATGACACATTCTAGCTGTAGACTCATAATGTCGAGACTGAAGCTACAGCTGAGTCAACTGTGTTTATCAGGAAAAGGGGGCAGTTTCTCTTGAAAGGGAAGGCCCATCACCATTTGAAAAGCTGCGGTGTCCTTGACACCTCCTCTTGACCTTCACCTCTTTCATGACAAGCATCAAAAATAATATGCTGCACTCTTAGTCCATTTACACTAACTTTGTAGTCAATGGTTTCAAATTTACTGCCCGAAGCAAAATCTCCAATTACTCTGAATTTGATACATCAGTGAGATCTTACCATATTTATCAAATCCAAGTGTATAGATTCACACATGTAAGTGATTAATCGCAAAATAGCATAAAACCAGTTGAGGATATTTTTTTGCGACAAGCGAACCAACACAGCTTCATAAATCTGAGGATCAGCTTCACGATTATGGAATGCAGTAAATTTTTTGGAAGAAAACTCGCATAGGAAGTCAAAAATATTATATTGTAAACTGTCTGCCTTTGGACAGCAAATGCATAAAGTTCTCGTTTTGAAGAAAAACCCGTGTGCTACAACAATCTCTTCTACCCTTGTACTAACAGATTTTCATTCTAAGTAAGATTCCAAAAATCTGCTTAATTTGACCACTAATAGCCCACAAACTTTAATTAACAATATAACGATGCCTGGTACCCTAGTGACGAACGCGATTATAAATTCTGAAAATCCTATAATCCTCCAAAATCCGAATGGTAGGTAAAAATAACAATGATGAATATCAATTGCACACTAATTCAACATCATTTTTCCTCTTGACCCAATATCTCATTATTCATGCGTTGATCAGACGAAAATCTCTTTTATTTTCCAAATAGACTAACATTTTTAATTTGATCGCTGGGAAATTGATTATTCATTGTCTATTATGAAGTATAGACAAGATGCTACGAGCAAAAGTAGTGAGATTTAGAAGATACAAGATTTGCTTTGACTGCGACATTTTAAGAAAAAATCAATTTTGGTGAAGGATCCATATATAACAAATATAGGAATCCTGTTTCTGAGATCGCAAATATGCGATCCTTGTGTTGAACTTGTGCGGATACTTGAATAAATAGTTGCCCAACACAAACTGAGTCCAGAAAAAACATATTAGGTCATTTCGAAAAGTCTCGTGCCTTTAGACCCCCCCCCTCCGCGGTAAATTTTTCAAAGTAAAGATAGATAAACCTGTTCTTGGTATATGATGCAATATGTTTGGCTCCTTACCGTGTCTGTTTTTCAGTTATACATCCTCACCCCTCAAAAGTCAATCAGAAAATTTCAGGAAGTATCGCATTGCAAAACGTTTGCTTTCAAATCTCTCTCAAAGCTGAGTTATAAATCTGCTGGTGTCGCACAATAAAATAATAGGTTCGAAAAGTCATCAATTTACTTAGCAACTATCTACGTATTCCAATCACTGGATTGCTAATATTTGCCAATTCTTTGCTCATCTTTCTATACAGTGACCCAGAAGTATGTATTCATCGTATGATCCTCAATATCTCTCATCCCCAGAAGTCTTTTGCTTACCTTCAGATACCATTCTGCAGAGCTGGCTTCAACTTAGACTTGTACTATGGAGCGATTCACCGATCGCCCCTCATTACTGCAGGATTACGGTAAAAACTTAGAGAAGGGTTTTGGACTAAGGGCCATATTATGCCTTGAAAAGCAAAATAAACAGCATGAAAACTCTTACACTATGCTAATTTCGAACCGCTAAAACTGAATATGAAGTTGCACTTCACCGCAATGGTTCCTTCATGACTTATGCCGCGCAATAGAGTTTTTCATAATCTTGATTATAAAGTCGACTGCAAGAAATCGCCCGGATCGCTGTAGGCTGAACGCTCGCGAGCGCGCCTGCGACGCGCCTGCCGTGCACAGGCGCTATGTTGACTCACGCGCGCGATTACCAATGTTAGCCCGTCAGAGACGCGCGCGCGGGCGTTCAATCCGGGCTATTCCGTGCAGTCAACTATACCATTTGTAGAGCTTTACAAGCTCCTAAAAGGTTGAGTAATGAACACAGAGAGCGTGAAAACACCACTCTAAAGGCCTTCCGAAAACTTTTTTGAAACACGATCAATCCATATTGACGCTGTAAACTGAAAGTTCCTACCGTAATCCTACAGTAATGAGAAGCGCTCGATATTTTGCTTCATAGTAGAACTAAATTAAAGCCAGCTCTACAGGATGGTGCCCGAAGATAGGCAAAAGATTTTTTGGGAAGAGAAATATCAACGATCAAACAAAGTTTACAAACTTTTTAGAGACCCTGCATTCTGTATTATTTTTACACTCTAAATCCCCTACCACGCCGCTTCTGTTTTTATAAGCATAGATTACCACCATTAATTATGCTACCGCCTAAGCCTCTTTTGACGACTTTTTCGTTCCCGATTTTTAGTCTTTTTCCGCTCTATTTGAATAATCCATATGGCACTTAGCAGCTGATATCGCCCACACCGCATATAAATTGCAACTATCTGAACTCGTCAACTAATCACAGAAATGATCTACTCCACTTATTTATTTGCTGGGGTAAGTTCGATAAAACAAATTGCAAATTAATACTTCGACAATCCATGCATAGCTGGTACAGCATCGTGTTTTAAACGGAGTTGCCCGCATTTTGAGTCAACTTTTTAGCTAATTAGGAAAAATTTACAAGTAGAAACACGGTTTCCCTTGTATTTCAAAATTTCGAAGTTGTTTTAGGTTTTCCTCCTTTCGCTGACTGCTTGCAATGCGGCTGTCTACCGGATAAAACGGTCAAGTGAGCTTCTTTCCAACATCCTTCTACTCCTTCCAGTGTCTATTTTGACATTTTCTATTCAGCATACTCCTGCTCCAACACTGGAATGACAGATGCTATTCGAGATCAAATCCTCAACTATCACAATGCAGCTCGTCTGAGAGTAGCAAAAGGCATTGAACCAAATAATGTCGGAAATCTCAATCCAGCGAAAAATATGTATAAACTGGTGAGCGAAACTTTGTCTTGGAAGTACACTACTCACTTATCTCAAATTGCAAAATAGTCTGAACGGCTATTAAAACCAACGGCAAAAAAATCTATTGCCTCGTTCTTTCTAGTTATGTTTCGATAACTATTATAAAAGGATGAAGGATTCGGCGTCTTCAATACCCTCCGAGGGCATGCACTGAACGCACACATTAACTTCGTAGTCGAAGAGGCAATTGTATGCGTGCGAGCCTATTACAGTGACTTGTGGGGGCCAGCCGTTTCCAAGACAGTGCTTTTATCCTCCCAGATTACTCTGGTACCAATTTATGAGTCCCGGAGGGTAGAGGGCTTGGTTGGTTCTCTACCCTCCGGGGCTGGTAAGGGAGGCGGGGATCGAACCTGTGTCCGTTCTGGTCATAGCGGCGTCTCATACCACTACGTCACTCGTCCCCCGTAACTATTATACTTGAGAACAATTTGAGATTAAAAAGCGTTAGAGACTTAAAAATTTGCTTAGGAATGGGATTGTAACATGGAGCAGCAAGCACAGGCCGCCATTTCCTCTTGCCCTGGCAACTTGGCATCATGGTCCAATATGGCGCAGAATCTCGTGAAGTAAGTATAAAACATCTTTTAGAACTTTAACATGGAGTTTGCTCGCTCTGATAACGTGATCACCGTAATCAACGATATTACCGGCTTCACAAGAGCGGGCATTATCACTATTCCAACTCAAAATTTGCGGCTAATCGCTTTTTCGGGGCATTACCAAGGCCTTTCTCTAAAAGAAAACTACAGAAGCTTTGTAATATTTGACTCAAACCGAAATGTTAGTTTTTGCCTATGATTGATTCAAAATTCAGATACACTAGCACAGGCTCGTTCCCCAATCCAGCCACACTAATAAATTCTACAATGAATAATTGGTGGGATGCGGCGAAGAAGTATGGCGTTACCGATCCACAAAACAGATATACGAGCAGTAAATTGTACAGTTTTTCCAATGTAAGTTGTTTACGAAAATTCGTTTATCACTTTTTTCCAAGTTTGTTTAGATGGTCTTTCCTGAAACAACTAAGATTGGCTGCGCTTATAAAGTTTGCACCGGTTCCACAAATGCATTGACATTCACTTGCCTTTATAATGGAATGTGAGTTATCTATCGTGCATATAATATGGGTAAAAATCTTTTCTCAGTGGTTATTATACAAATGAACCGATGTGGGAGACCGGATCAGCCTGTGTAACTGGTGCGGACTGTACCACATACGCTAATTCTGGTTGTTCTGGTGGTCTCTGCACTAAAGGAGCTGATATACCAGGTTCGTAAAAACTCGTAATAATTATCTTGAGATAGTTGAGATATTGTGACTTCATATATTGAGTAGGCAAAAAAGTTTGTGTTGTAAGCAGAATAAAGGTGGGCAAGCGATAAGGAAGTCCAAAAAATGGGGCAAATTTTGAACATTTGCAAGCTTTCCTTTCTAGTTAACAATAAACAGCCAGCAAAGTAAACGCTTTTGTGAAGATAGACCTTCGCTCATTACTGCGAAGTTTCCCTGCTGCTGCTCTCCCACAATCCTTCAGCAGTCTTTCGAGTATTTTAAAAAACTTTTCGAGAAATGTCTGAGTTTGCAGCGCTGCATCGCAAAGCCGACGCACAGCATACCCCTCGAACTCAGAGATTTCCTATTTCGCTATGTAAAAAAAGGGAAGATGGTGCAGCTCGGTGGGCTCAGCACCTCACCTCGCTGCTCGACTGCCAGCCTGTAGAATCCCGGATCTGCGCGTCCGCGCGCAATCCAGTCCAAAAGTGAACAAGGAGAAATATCGCATGTATGACAAAGACAATATCACAAAAAAACCACACGGCTAGATTTGATAGATTTATCTATACCATTACAGAGAGGTTGACTACAAAAAATAAAAGACGTTAAAGTACCAAACTACAACCACATGGAATCAGCCCGCCTCACTCCGAGTCGCTGATAATCACCAAGCCTCTCTCAACACAAGAACTTTAGGGATTTGCCTCAGGGTCGACCGCTTAGCGCCCGGTCCTTCCGGAACAATGCTACCTTTCCACTACTCTCGAGATCTTACTTCCTCCACATCAAACCGACGAAGCTCTCGCGCGTATTCACATTTACATCCAGAAGACCTGTTGTTTGATTGCCATCCAAAAGCTTCTTCTGCGAGAGCTTGCTAACCGGCTGCCATGGACCCCATGAAAAATCGTTAAGAGGGCTGAATCAAATCAAAGAAGGAAGGAGGTGTATACGCCTATAGCGCCATCTTATATACGCCTCCTCTAGTCAGCAGGGAGCGGTCCGGGCGCGAACACAAGAGGCGCGCCTGGTCACAACGGCAAACGGCGTTCCCGGCCGCTGTATCGAGGAGTGGCTTGCATCGCACGGCCTGCGACAAAATCATTCGAGAAAGTACGACTTTGCAAAAAGTTTCAGGCCGACCAAAAATCATCACTTGGTAGACATTTCAAAATAAGTGAAAATTGAAGTATGCTCGTTGTGCCAGAAAAACCTATAATTATTTCTAGGTGTCTCATTATTTTCGGATTACTGTATTAATTTTCAGCTCTTTCTTCCTTGTTATATGTTTGAAAAGAATTCTAGTAATCGCTAATTTACTTAACACGACAAGTTAAGTGATAATAGAATGTAGAATCAATTCGATTCTCAGAATTTTGTGCTACATGTTACTTGTTTGAAGCTCACTTTTGGAAAATCGTTCCGAAGAAAACCTTTAAAAAAGTAATTAAAGAGAACGATATGAAAGACTCAAAATGCAAAAGCTAAAGTTTTACCTACTATCACAACTTCTATATATTTCAAGTAAACTGTAAATCAGCTAAAGATAAACAAGGCAATAACCCAGCATGTGCATCGCAATTTCTCAAGCGCATAGTAGGAAAAGCACTTCGAAAACGTAGCTTTGAAATGCGGAAAAAATTTCACATTGAAACACGCTTATTTAGCTTCAAGGAAGTTGCGGATAAGTTTAAAAGTAACATGAACTTCTGCAGTCGACAGCTTTCATATTGCGAATCAAAATATGGAGCACTTCTACAAGCAGAATTCTCAAAGTGTGCCATTAATTCATCACTTAACTCTTTAGATACCAACAATCAGTGCGCCACCAACACTGGAATGACAGACGCGGTTAGGCAGAAATTCCTAACTCTCCACAACAGCTTCAGGTATGCTACAATCATACTTTGAGAGAAAATGTATTCAAGTGTTTGCAATTCAGATCAAGTCTTGCTCGTGGGCTAGAACCTGACGCCTTGGGAGGAAATGCTCCGAAGGCGTCGAAAATGCTTAAAATGGTAATTTGTCCATCGCTTTAAGCTTGTTAGCCATTGAGCATCCGATTAAGGTTTATGATTGCTCTGTAGAAGCAAATGCCATGAAGCACGCTAAAAAATGTGTCTACGAACATTCTGAAGACAAGGAAAGACCAAATCTTGGGGAAAATCTTTATTATACCAGTGCCCTTAATTTTGACAAAGTTAAAGCCGCCGCTCAGGTATGCAAAGCCAAATGATTCATGAAATGACAGTCAATCCCTATTAGGCATCGCAATTATGGTGGAACGAATTGAAAGAATATGGAGTTGGTCCATCTAATAAGCTAACTCGTGCGCTCTGGGACAGAAACAACACGCAAATTGGTCACTACTCTCAGGTAATGATTTTCCTATAATTATTCTTCATAGAGTTAGTTCACTATTTCTAGATGGCTTGGGAAACTAGCTACAAGCTTGGATGTGCTGTCGTAGCCTGTTCCAAATTCACCTATGCCGTCTGTCAATATGGACCAGCGTAAGTGCAAGTAATAGTGCGCGAAGACAAGAATTACCTATTTTTTCCAGAGGTAATTACCTAGATAACTTGATCTACACGATTGGAAACCCGTGCACTTCTGACGCTGGATGTCCAGGATCATACACATGCAGCGTGGCGGAAGGATTATGCAATGTTGTGTGAACTTCTACTATGCAATAATAAACATCTATGAATTTCAAAATAGTTGCCCATTTTAGAATGTCGAAAGGGTTACGTGTAGATGAAAGTTCAAACAGACCAGTGTTAAGAGTTCAAATAGTTTACAGACTGCTATACACAAGGTGTGCTTAAAGTATGCATACACTATTTGGTCGTTGATATCTCTCTTCCCAAGAACTCTTTTGCCTACCTTCAAAAGAGTCATGCATTTTAATGCGGCACGAGACTTTCTCTTACGACTCATCTTCCCCTCCACATCTACTTTTTTGAGGTAATCTACATTAACGAATGTCAGATCACCTCAAAGGTTGCGAATGGACCATAATAATTATAAGTTAGAGAAAAGGAATTCTACTTAGAGTGAGAGACAGTGCAAGTAATGCTCGATTGCTCAAAAATCTCCCAAATAAATCTGCATAGGTCGGGTAAGCAAGCAAATTCTACAAGCATCTGGCTGTACTGTACTTGATTGCGAAAAAATGGACAATCTTCACTAAGGAGGACATCAGTTTTAGTCTGATACCGACATTTAGATTGTAACCCGTTCGGGGATACAGAGCAGTTTACTTCAGCCGTCTCAGAAACGTCATTTTGTGTAGACAAAAGGTCGTTGAAAGATAAGCCATTTAAACATTTCATAACCTGCGAAATTTCCAAATTTCCAATTTTTTGTGAGGATTAGATGCAAAATCATCAGATTACGGACACAAATTATACGTAAAGCTACAAGCTGCTTCCACTGCTCCATCCTTGCGGACTCCTGAAGGAGGCCTCAGCTTTGGTGGCTCTTGTGCCACTGCACTTTCAGCAAAATAGTTTCTAACTCATGCCTTCAGTGCATTTCATAGGACTTATATCTATCTGTGAACGCGAATAAAAAATATATGGGTACGAACAATGAGGAGAACTTTGTGAAGCTAGTCTGATTTCAAGGACTTTGGGAATTTTCTAGCATTTACAAGCAAATAACAAGTCACTTGCACAACTTTATAACCATGCAGGCTACTTTTATAAATTTCGCGATCCATTTTCGAGGAGGGGCAAAGAAACCTTTTCTTCCCACTCGGTTCTGCGCTGCTCGATACCCCAGAAAACAAAAGTCAGGTTTTTGTTATAAAGAATGTAGGATTCAAGCTGAAGGGGAATATGTCGAAGTCGCGACTAGCAACCGCATGTGGAGGGGGTAAGGAGCTTTGAAAACAATCCGATTCAATTGCTCAAGGGGATCTGCATTACGTGTCTAACTATTAGGTTGGTGCAAAAGTTTTGTCAGTTTTTTCAATCCATCGGCAAACACGCTGGAATGAAGATATACAAATATTTCAAAATGTATCCGATGGAGAATTTCTTCCTCTTTCCAGCAGCTAAACTCACATTGTGTTTCGTTGCAAGATTGACGAGATATTTGCTGGAAATTGCAACCACTCGTTTTTACCATGTCCAAATTTCGCTAATTTTCATTGTATGAGACTTTCGGAGGGGTTCTAATAACCACCAGATAGGGCAAATCATTTGCCGACTAGTGCAATTTTTTGTAGCCCTACGGCTTGTCTTTCAAAATTTCTACGATTTATTATTTGGAGTAACCAAATTTTACATTCAGCCTATTTTAAGCTCGTAGAACATAAAATGTTAAACATTTCAGTCATCATTCGATGCAACTTTTTCTCCTCCTTCTAACGCTTGCCTTTTTTCACCGAGACAGGCGAAATTTGTGGAAAAAATCGCAGTAATTCTCAATTTTAGGAGTGCGCACTGACGTAACCTATGTTTCAAAATCTTCATAATTTGAAGCGAAAATCGCTCATTTACTTTGTAATGGTCGCAGTAGTAATAATCGAGTGTTGAAACTTCAGTATTCTGTAGGTTTTGCAGTGTTTGGTGCAATAATAGGTTATGCGACTTTTCCAAAACACAACACTTTAATTATTTAATAAAAAGCTGAAAAAGCAGTTGAAAAAAGAAAAAAAATTGCATAAGTTGGCAAAAGGTTTGCCCTATCTGATGGTTATTAGAACCCCTCCGAACGTCTCATACAAAAATTTTCAAAATTGGTGAAAGTTGGACATGGTAAAAACGAATGGTTGCAATTTCCAGCAAATATATGTGAGTTCAGCTGCTGGAAAGAGGAAGAAATTCTCCATCGGATACATATTGAAATGTTTGTATATCTTCATTCCAGCGTGTTTGCCGATGGATTGAAAAAACTGACAAAATTTTTGCACCAACCTAATATTATGTTAGGTCGTTTCATGAGTTCGTAGAGTTTTAATAACAGTCAATGAATGACAAAATCCCAACGAAATTAAGTAAACAATATTTGTTCCGTTGTTGCGCATAATCTTCTGCTACCATGCAGATTTTCATTACTGTTTCTCCAAAACTCAGCTGGTCTGGCCCCAAAAAAGTCGTCTAACCAGCGCCTGAGATCGTTCCTCAGAATTAAAACAGACACTGCTCATATGATTTGTGATAGACTGGAACAGATGATAATATATTAGGGCGAGATCTCAGGAGTACTATGAATACCAAAGTGCCTCCCAATCAAAGTCTTACAGGGCAGCTATGACGGCGGTTGCTTTAGAGGGCCAAATTTTGTCGCGTAAAAAAGCTCACTGGACTTGCTTATTAGCTTACTATGATTTTCTAGAGTAGGAATCCGTTTAGACTGTGCGATCGGGTTCCGTATGGTTGGGTGACTATCTTGTTCTTGTCTAGTAATTTTCAATGGAGAAGCTCTTGCACGTCCTGCAAAAAGTCTTGTTCAGGGAGCACGCGAGAAAATGTTTTTTGTTGCACTTTGAGACCTTTTCTGGAAGCTGAGAACTTAAAGCAGATCAGCCTTTCATCGAAAGTAACTGATATGCTTTGAATAGCATGATCAGCTCTTCTCAATGACATACGCATCTTGCCGCAAATCGACCGCTCTTCAAAGAAATGAGAACGATAATGACAACTCTGCGAACTTATGAAAGGACCCAATATATTTGAGTGACTCTAGCATTCTTTGTTAAAGCCATCTGAAAAGTGCAATACCCCAATCAATGTTTTTCTTAAACTCCGATTAATCATTACTAACTCGGCTCTTTTTCCGTCAAAGTGTCACTTTTTGCGAATCCGTTCAAAATGTTATAAGAATCACAGAGGATTGTTCGGGCAAGGTTGGTATTCATTTACTTAAGTGTTATGTGAATGTGGACCTCTCATTTACACTATCCGCAGGTGCAAGGTTATAACATCAGCATAGAGGCGAGAATGTTGGTCGGGAAAATTAGGGCACCTACAGTATAAGAAACAGCCCTACCTATTTTCCCAAAAATGTTGCCATCAAACGTTCTCTACGCGTCTAATTTAACTACACTCTCTTCAAATGGTATATTTCACTTTATGGTGTTAGTCATAATCAAAGGTTTTTGAGTCCAAAAATACTTTTGTTTGCTGCGCTTCTTCTTCTACAGTGACTACTTGGTATGCATTCAGCTAAGATGTACTAAACTATTTTTTCTTAGATGCACCTCGAGTGCAGGCATAAATATAAATATTTTCCAAGGAATTTTTTTATCGTCAAAGTGTGCACGTCGCCACAATTGGGGTCATAGGGGTATGTGGTAAGCTGAAATATGTATGTCACAATGCGAAGAAAGGGGTAGAGGACTATATGTCGCCGAAAAAGGGCGGTCCCGGCGGTCATTTGCGACAAACACGCACCCTTGTGCATGCGCGGACATGCGTTACTGCAGGGAATCCGCGCAGGACTCTTCCAAATTCGGCGACATATAGTCCTCCACCCCGAAGAAAGCATCTGGCATGTCTGATAAAAGGGTTCTGGGTACCAAGAGGTGGTCGCCGCAAAACTAGTGTGCGGGTACGTCGCTGAAGCTTTGCGCGAATAGCATGCGCCGGTACTACGCTACAATATCTATTTTACCGTGTAATATAGCGAAGTAAAGGTGGGTAGACAGATCAGTCGCTTGCAAGATCTTTGGGGTAAATCTATAAGCAAGCTTCGATGTGTCTTAGCCTGCATTTGTCACAACTGATGGTGCAGTCGGCCGTTTTCCCAATGAAGACGTGTACTGAGGTGCTTTGTCAGGAAGTGCGGATAGCGCAGCGCCAGTAAGGGGTGCCACTGAGCTGTGAGAGGTACAAATTCCACGTGAATCCACGTGCTTCGCAAGTGCTCGCTTGCTCCTTTCATGTTATTGAATAATCTCTCAATCACTCAGTTATACGACAGAAATAGAGAATGGCATGTAAATGAACTTGGGAGATACTCAAGAAGATCCAAGATACTGTAAAACATGCATGAAACAATTATGTCTTTAGTTTATGCAGTATGAACTTGTATTAGCCATGATGCCAGACGGTACTGAACCCTGCCCGTCACTATTCACGTGCTCATCAGACCAAAAACCTCTTTTATGTAAAAATGATAACTCTTTCAACCTTTATGGGAGGATGATCATTGATTATCCATTGTGATGTATGAACCAGCAGATACTGAGATCAAATGTTTAATGCAAGCGAGAATTGCGAATACTGGAAAACCTAACAGTAAACTTATGGCACTCGCAGAAACATTTTGTTTACACTTTTACACCCTAAGGGATTTCAACAAATCAGTTCCATTCAAGGAACAACATTAAACACAAGAGTTCTGTTTTGAGATTGCAAGAGTATGATCAGCGGTGTCAAACTGCTGTAAATACTCAAAAATAGTTGTCTTTTCTAGACGATTTCAGAAGCGGGGCACCAAGTTTTTTGAAAGGTCAGGCATTTCTGGGCCTATGAGCTAATCCATGTTACAGAAAGATAAGGAGTTTGAACGGTATTGAGTTAAATAACAATTTTCCAATGGACATGTTTTCTTGGTAGTTCGCTTTAATTTCAAGCCATTTCGAAAAACTGCGAGAAAGATTTTGCTCCGTGTGCAATTTATCAAAATCTTAAAAATCCGCTAAAAAAAGATCGGGCATAACGGCAAAATGTGAAAAGATGGGTTCGAAATTTTGTTAAAATTTATCAATACATATTCCATCTATTTAGCGTTTGATATGTGACCTTCATTTTGTCCATATCATCTCTGTTTTCTACAGGTGCAGCTCATGTTCTTAAATTTATGCTACCACCTAAACCTTTTTCAATGATTATTTTGTTTTTAAGTCTTCTTCAGCTTTATTTGAATAATCCATATAACCTCTAAAGCTGTCTACATTGGTTCCACTGATGTATAAATAGCAAATTGACCCCATAGTCATAGAAATGATCGCCTCCGTTAACTTGTTCACTGGGGTGAGTTTCAGAAATAGATTGTCAAAAAAAACATCAAATGTTTACGCACTGTTGTTACGATTTTCTTGAAATTTTTACATTGTATTATCTCGAATTTGCTCCTCAGTCTCAAGTTTTTGAGCTGTTTAGGCCATCCTTCTTGCGCTGACTGCTTGCAGTGCAGCTATCTATCGGGAGAAACGAGCAAGTAAGTTTTGCTCCCAACTTTCTTTGCTCCTTTTCTCCATAAATAGACACTTTTTTCAGCATATTACTGCTCAAACAACGGAATGACAGACGCCATCCGAGATCAAATCCTCAACTATCACAATGCGGCTCGTCTGAGAGTGGCTAGAGGAGTGGAACCAAACAATGTCGGATATCTGAATCCAGCGAAAAATATGTATAGATTGGTGAGTACTCAAGAGATCTATTATAAAAGCTGTGGTTCCAGTAGCCTCCGCAATTGGTACAAAAAAAAGACTCTAAATGGTAATGTTTTGTGCTCAGTTTTGAAACCGTGAAATTAGTTATTGGCAAAAATCGCTAAAATTGTCTATAATCCATCTCCTTTAGTTGAGTTTCTTTGCAACATAATACGTTTTTTAAACCATTTGGACATGGAAACAATGGGTGTTAAAAAAACTTTTAGGATTGGGACTGTGACATGGAGCGGCAAGCACAAGCCGCCATTGCTTCTTGCCCAAGCACCCTGGAAACTTGGTCCAATATGGCACAGAATCTCCAGTGGTAAGTATAAAACGTTTCCAGTCTATAACCCAAACAAGATCTGCATAACTGCCGTTTGCTAGTGCTAGGTCGTTCCGAAAGTCTGTTTTTTTTTTCAGCCTATCAAAAACGCGCGAAATAAAGGCAACGCCTCAAACTACGTATCGTCGCAACGTTTCTTGCTCTTTTTAGCAGTGTCGTGTTCCTGTGCTAGTCATTCTTGTGGTTACTAGAATAATAAGTGGATCATGTCTTGATCTTTTTCAATTCCTCTTTTTGAACTCGTGCAAGCTTGAATGGCAATCAAATAGCTTGGACAAAATGCAATTCAGTGCAATTTATTGAAACCTATAGCTGCCTTTACAAAATATTTGCAATTATAATATTTGCGAAATATTTGCAATTACAATTTTTCTCTGATGCTATCAAATTCCACTTTTAATCATACCGATACTTGTATGACCTCAAAGGGCGCATAATTTTGTTTCCAAGCAGCTTTTTTCCCTCTTTCTGATAGGCATTTTTCTTCAATTCATGGAGTCCTTAGCGATAAAATTGTCATAACCTTGATTTTGAACTCGTCCCGATCTGCACCTGTAGAATGCGAAATCTGTTGTCTCGAAGCAGTAAATGCTCATTTGCATTGTAAAGTTAATGCATAATCATAATGGACTTTTGAAATCTCAAATTTCAAAGATTTGGTAGTTTTGGAGCGTTTGTGTTTTTTGCGAATCCGCAAAAATGAAAATTTTTAGAAAAGTTGTCTTGAAAAATGCTGAAAAGCCAGTTGGAGTGCCAAAAAATTGCATTGCCTTGCACTTTGCCTACGCTATCTGTTTTCTATCATATTTTTCCTGAAAGTCAAAAATGAAGATTGTTGACGTGGTAAAAAAATGGTGGATCGGAAATTTCGGCGATTATTTCTATAATCACAAGAGTAGCCAGAGCGGACATGACTGCTGAAAAGGAACAAAAGCTGGGTAGAAAAGTTTTTGAAACGTTGGTCTGCCTTCATTTCACGAAATTTTATAGCAAGTTGCAATACGAAAAAAAATTTGAAACTTTTTATCAGCACTTTTCTACCATTTAAAACATATTTCAAGAGCTCTGGTCCATTTTTTAAACCATCTATAGATCCGAGTTTGGACTGAATCACTTGTTACATTACCTGAAATCATTTTTGGTTCCATAAATTGTTGGAAAGCGAAAGTTTTTAACTAGCCATTACAGTAATTCACAAAAATCTGTAAAATTGTAACGTTTGTGAAATTTTTTACGGCGACAGAATTCTTGCACGCTCGAACTCACTGTCCCACTTTCCTTTTCAAGTGTTTCCAGAAGAAAATTTGCATTTGAGGTACACCAGCAGTGGTTCGTTTTCCGATCCAGCCACACAAATAAATTCTGCGCTGAATACGTGGTGGGGAGCAGCGAGGCAGTACGGGGTCACCGATTCGAAGAACAGATACAGGAATAGTAATCTCTATAGCTTTGCCAATGTAAGTGCCAATTTAAGGGTAGTCCAAGAATATTTGTTCATGAGTTTTTTCCAGATGGTTTTCCCTGAAACAACAAAAATTGGTTGCGCCTACAGGATTTGTCCCGGTGCCACAAATACCATGACCATCACCTGCCTATACAATGGAATGTCAGTTATCTATCACTCGTGTGAATAATATGAATAATGCAGTTTATTTCAGTGGCTATTTTACAAATCAAGTGATGTGGGAAACCGGATCAGCCTGTGTAACTGGTGCAGATTGTACCACATATCCCTATTCCGGTTGTTCTGGTGGTCTCTGTATCAAAGGACCGGATGTACAAGGTTTGCTGAAGCTTGGATGGATCATACTGAAACTTTGGAATCCACCTTTTCTCTGTAGTTTCTCCAAATAGGCAATTTGGCATAAGTGGTATGATTGATACGAAAATAGATAGGCTTTTTACACTTATAGAAGTATTGTTCTGAGTACTTTCGAAAATTGAAAAATTAGGTGAAAATACTGAGTCGATTGCTACCTGAAAAATTCCAGACACCAACTACATCTGCCCCAACAACTATGGAATGACAGACGCGGTTAGGCAGAGGGTTTTGTCTCTTCACAATAGCTACAGGTACAAACAACAATTCAAAAATCTGAAAAGCACAAAATTCACTCAAGTGTATTTCTAATATAGATCGCACGCGGACTAGAGCCTGACGCCCTAGGAGGATATGCTCCTAGAGCCTCGAAAATGCTCAAAATGGTAAACTGGTTCATCGCTACCAAGCTCATTGTTAGTAGCCTTCATTTTTGATTCAAGTTTTATGATTGCTCAGTAGAAGCAAGTGCCATAAGGAACGCTAACAAATGTGTCTACGCGCATTCCACCGATGCGGAACGACCAAATCTCGGAGAAAATATTTGGTTCACCACTGCGCAAAATTTTGACAAAGTCAAAGCTGCCACCCAGGTAAAATGAACCGGATACTCTCCATAAGATAACCAACCTTACTAGTTAGGCTTCGCAATATTGGTGGGACGAACTGGAAGAATATGGAATAGGTCCGTCAAATAACCTTACTCTCGCGATTTGGAACAGGCCTAATGACGTCGGTCACTACACCCAGGTAATATTAATCTTCTATAGAGATTCTATACAAAAGTCAATTTACTGCTTACAGATGGCTTGGGATACTAGCTACAGGCTTGGATGTGCTGTAACATCCTGTTCCGGCTTTACCTATGTCGTCTGTCAGTATGGACCAGGGTAAGCCCCGGTAGTTTCACAAACAGGATTATCCTATCTTTTTCCAGGGGTAATTACTTCAACAACCTAATCTACACAATCGGCAACCCATGCACTGGATGTGGATCGTATACATGCAGTACAACCGAAGGATTATGCAATGTTGTTTGAACTTTTATTATGCAACGATAAACATTTTCAAACTTTATGAGGAGTACATAGCGTCCGTATAGGCAGGGGCCATAAGCAGGCATGAAAAGTTACACTAAAACTTATTGTCAAAAGTTCCAAGAGCCACTTTTACATCCAGGGTGCTCCACATGAAAATTGACGCAAAAAAATGCTACACTGCATCGAAAAAAATCAAGTTTCAAACTATCAACTTTTTCTGATACCCATAAGTTTCTGCATAAGATGTTGTTAACCTGATTCAAAACTTGCTCTTCTGACTTAGGTATACGCATTTGATTTATTTTGTGAATTTGCTAAGAGCGCGCTGCCATTTTCAGCATGCTGCTTTCAACAGATTTTCCCCATTTGACAAGTTCTGGAAAGAGTAAATTATGAGCTTTTTATTATAGCAGCGTCCAACAGCAGGTTGCTGAATTCCGGCTAAAAACACTTGAATTTCGCAGCACAAACATATTTCCAACAATACTTGCCTTATTCGGAAATACTAGGTTGATGCAAAACCAATGGCCGATTTGCGAATTCTCACTTTGACGTGCTATAACTTTCTAAAAGATCCACATTTCTGAATGCGGCAAAGACCCCCAGAAGCAGCAAACCTTCCGCAATACAGCGCATACTCATCTATACTCAAACCATAAACGGGAAGAGAAATACGGACTAAAAGACAAAAAAGGTTCTTCTGCTAGAACCTTGTTTTTGACAATTCTCAACTTCCTTCAAAGTTTCTTAGTATGAATGATAAGTGGCCTATCTTGTAGCCGCAAGCCAGTAGTACAAGATGCAATAAAAAGAAATCGGACAAAAAAGTTTGCGAGAAAGAATAAAATTGAAATTCAAAATTTCTCAGTTTTTTCAACATTTTTTCAGTGTGCCTCAAAGTCCGGAATATAGAATTTTCTGATTTTCTACGTAGTGAACAGATAGATGTTTTTGCAAAAACTGCTAATAAATGCCCTAGCCCTACGCTTACAGAATAGAGCAAAGCTTCGGCGACTGACTTCTTCATAAGAAAATTATGGGTCATAAAATGACCGCAACAGCTACGCATATTTAGACTCCGATATGTCAGTCTGGATAGCTTTAAAGAATGCAGTTAAGTATGCATAATGTAGAAAATTTCTATTACATACATTAGCTAAATTTTTGAAGAAATCCCATTGATACGCGTTTGAATTCTGGCCGGAAAAATGAATGCAATGAAATTCTGGATTTGGATGCTGTTATTTGAAGCTCAGTAACTTTATAACACATGAGAATGAGGGCCCGTTTTAAGCACCTTTAGATAGAGCATGAAAACAGCTTCGCGATGGGATACTACTATTGTAAAGAAGAAGTATTGATGGAAAAAGTCGCAAAGGCTTGGAAAATCGGCCATCATTTTTGCACCAACCTAGTATATCCAAGATGCAGAGTTTGTCCAAGGAACTGTATTGAATGCTAATTCGATTTCTGTGATCTTACTGTGATTTATCGTTTTTTTTGTAAAATGTATTGCAATTGTAAGAATTTATTATCAACGTTGTTTTCCACAAGAGTTCTTACAGAATGCCTGCCTGATAACCTATCAAGAAAAACCCGAACGTCAAAGTGTTTCTAATTAATGTGCCATATACAAGCTGAGCTCCTCTTTTTTCTGATGGCAGCAAAGCAGCTAACGGAAAGTGCTCCTTTTGAGACCTTTCCTAAATTTAGAAGCGCGTCGTCTCAGACTTGGTTTCGTAGCAATAGACGACTAGCTTAACATCTATTTATTTCTTTCTCTCCCTTTGATTGGAGTTAGCGTTACAAAATAACGACTGAACCATGCATTATTGTATGCAAAGTCCTTTCCCACTACTTTGAGAGTTTCAATGTGAACAAAAATTCGACACAAACAATCAACACATACTGTTGCAAGAAGCGGAATATCGACTTGCTGCAATGAATGGAAAAAGCGTATACAAAAATGCGGACATTGGAAGGCCTCTATGCAGCAGATACTAGGCACTCGAGAAGAAGTTCAGGCTTTGAATGACTAATAATAATGAGGAATAATTATAATCATGATCGTAATGTACGTTATGGATTCTATCTTCTCTGGAAAGGCGAATAACACTAGACTTATTTCAAGTGGTGATGAACAAAGCTCAGCAAGGGTGGCGCTTTCACACGCTTGATATCGTATTTAAGGGGGAAGCAAAAGTGAAATCGTAACTTCTTAAAGCGGAGGGCGAGGTACTCGGATCTGACAAATTATTAGCAAGCACAACCCTACTTACGAGGGAAGTACTTTCAATGGCCGTGGCCTTTTGATATGAGATGCATATTATCTGAAGCAGCTTCGGACGCTGATTCCCAAAAGGCTTTCCTTTTCTGCGGAACGCCCTTCTGAAGAGAGTTATGGAGGCCTGAAAATCCTATTTGGGGGCGCCCTTTGAGTTTCAGAGCGATGCTAAGTGCGTCGGTGGTACAGTGGTGTAACCTTTGTACATATTTTTTTGGGGAGAAAACCAAATCAAGAAGCAGGCGTTTTGACAGAAAATTTTTTCCTTAGTTCACATTTGCCAAAAGTATTACAGTAAGTGATTGCAGACGAATTAGAGTGGTTTTTAAACTCACATTCAAAGTGCAAAAGGTTCGCTCTGCACCGGATTCGAACCACCGACCTTTCGCCTTCAATGCCAACAACTAACCATTACACCACTGTACCACCGACGCACTTAGCACCGCTCTGAAACTCAAAGGAGCCCCAAAATAGGATCAGGCCTCCATAACTCTCTTCAGAAGGGCGTTCCGCAGAAAAGGAAAGCATGTTTGGAATCAACGTTCGAAGCTGCTTCAGATAATGTGCATCTCATATCAAAAGGCCACGGCCATTGAAAGTACTTCCCTCGTTAGTAAGGCCGATTTTGAGGCTTCAACGTTTCTCACCAGTAACAGGTAAATAAGCACGTTACAAACACGATACAGAATGAACTTGTGTGCGCAGGATTCGCAACGTGTCAAAACATGATGCTTGTGCGCAAAAAAAAAACAAACAGGTGTTTGTTTACAGCGACTAAGCAATTTAGAGCCATCAAATTTGGTGTGTAGCTTCATGACGATGATGAAAAGAAAAGCATGAAAAATTATGAAAAAATCATGTGACTGAGAGGAGTTGTAAGTGTTTTTCTAAGTTAGGTTGCTCTCGCGCAATTTGGGAGCACCCTGAAGTTGCGCGAGACCAAACAAAGTCATGATTTAACCACTTCTTCACATAATTCTTCGGAAATTTTTATACAGGGTGTCCCAAAAAAATGTATCGAACGTTTGATCGTTAATATCTCTCTTCCCAAGAAGTCTTTTGCCTTGCTTCAGGTACCATTTTGTAGAGCTGGCTTCAACTTAGATTTGCATTATAGAACGAATCACCCATCTTTCTTTATTACTGTAGGATTACGGTAGAAACTTGAAACACATGGTGTCAATGTGAAAAAAGCTGCCGTTTCAAAAATTTTCAAAAAATTGTGAAAACTTGTGTATTAGGGTTTTTATAGACGCTGAGTTCAATACTCAATTATTCACAAGATTGCGAAGCTTTTTAAAGGGTGTAACCGCACTTTCTAGAAACATTGAAAAAATGGCCGCTACTTCTTACGTGGCATAACTCTTCAATGAAGCATCATAATAAATTGGGAACTTTACAGTTATAATCAGCAACTCTAATTAGCCTGGTGTAAAAGTGTTCGGGCTGTTTTGTTTCCTTTCTGGAGCAAAATATGGCCTTTCATTGCTTAAAGGCAGCGGACAGGCAAAATGGACCCCTGTCAGATTTTGGTAGTTTCGGGTAGTGGACCCCCCAAGTACACCGTAGCCCCAACCCCACATTCCAATTCATGCGCTAAGTCCTGAAAAAAACGCTTCAAAACTCCACCAGCCCCGCCCACTTGCATTGAGTGGGCGTTATTGGTGGAAGTTTGAAGCGCTTTTTTCAGGACTTAGCGCATCAATTGGAAGTTGGGGTTGGGGCTACGGTGTACTTGGGGGGTCCACTACCCGAAACTACCAAAATCTGACAGGGGTCCATTTTGCCTGTCCACTGCCTTTAAAACTCTCTTTGAAACTTCTACCGTAATCCTACAGTAATGAAGAGAAATGAGTGATTCGTTCTATAATGCAAATCTAAGTTGAAGCCAGCTCTACAGATTGGTATCTGAAGCAAGAGAAAAGACTTCTTGGGAAGAGAGATATTAACGATCAAACGTTTGATACATTTTTTTGGGACACCCTGTATAAATCTATTCTTCAGTTTAAGGCTCTACCTATGAGTACTTAATTACCCCAAGTTTCGACCTCTTTGCTTTGCTACGACACTTAAACATAAAAAAGCCTTCTTCTTTTCCGCCTTCTGTTGTTCTATCCCTAATTTTCTGGATTTTTTTCAGTTTTATCCACTCATCAATCGCTGCAGATTATAAGCCGTACTTCCACAAATCCACAACTGTTTATTCGTAAATGCAATGTCAAAGGGGACCTCGTTTCCAAGATTCTCAAGTACCACCTCGTGCCGGACCCTGGTGATGAATGGAGCTGGAATTTTCATGAATTCTCATGGAAATTTGAATGTTTGCAGTTTCAAATGTTTGCAGTTACAAAAACAATCGGAACATCCAACTTTTAATCAGCCAAATATTGATAACTAAATCTGGCTATCTTATACATAAAGCTGAATGTCTGTTTGTATGTCTGTCTGTATGTATGTATGTATGTATGTATGTATGTATGTAAGTGTGTGCGTATGTTCCGAATAGAAAATTCCATTTCTGAACCGATCCGGACCAAACTTGGCACACATACACTTCGAGCCCCGGCGGGTGTCATAGGCTACTTTTCGTCATTGATCGATATCGATTTTATCGATTTTTTGCAAAATTTGACCTACGGGGCTGGGAGTTTGCACAGGGGCAGTCGAGCATGGGGATTCCGAATACAATATTGGTTTTCAAGATTATCGACTACTTTTATCGATTTTACCGATTTTTTTGCAAGGTTTGAGCTACGGGCTGGGAGTTTGCACAGGGGGTAAGTGTGCATGCTGATTTCGAAAACAAGGAACGGGAAATGAAGTGTAGAAGTGGGCACAGAAAAAGCTGTGCAGGGATAGGGATGAGAACTTTATCACAACGTTTAGACAGGGTCAGGCGGAGCCGGGTAGGTAAGCCAGCTAGTAACTAATAAAACTAAATTATGCTATTCTTCACGTAAATGTTATGATTATTCAGTCAAAGAAAAATTATGCAGATGATTGAATATATACGAAGACGATTTCCTCCCCAAAAAACCAAACACTCTGTGCAAAACTTTCTAGTTTATCCACCAATGGATAAACTTGCAGCAGTCACTGCATCTTATATATGAAGCTGAATGTCTGTTTGTATGTATGTATGTATGTATGTCTGTCTGTCTGTCTGTCTGTATGTCTGTGTGTACGTATGTTCCGAATAGAAAATTCCATTTCTGAACCGATCGGGACCAAACTTGGCACACATACACTTCGGGCCCCGGCGGGAGTCATAGGCTACTTTTCGTATCGATCGATATCGATTTTATCGATTTTTTGCAAAATTTGAGCTACGGGGTTGGGAGTTGGCACAGGGGGGTAAGTGAGCATGGGGATTCCGAATACAATATTAGTTTTTAAAATCGTGCATTACTTTTATCGATTTTATCGATTTTTTTGCAAAGTTTGAGCTACGGGGCTGGGATTTGGCACAGGGGGGGGGGGGTAATCGAGCATGCTGATCACCCCCGTGGGTGATCAGCATGCTCGTTTACACCCCCCCCCCTGCCAAATTCCAGCCCCTAGCTCAAATTTTGCAAAAAAATCGACAAAATCGATAAAAGTAATGCACGGTTTCGAAAACTAACATTGTATTCGTAATCAGCATGCTCGATTACCCCCCTGTGCCAAATCCCAGCCCCCTAGCTCCAATTTTGCAAAAAATCGATAAAATCGACATCAATCGATAACGAAAAGTGGACTGTGACACCCGCCGGGGCCCGAAGTGTATGTGTGCCAAGTTTGGTTCGGATCGGTTAAGAAATGGAATTTTCTATTCGGAACATACGGCGGAGCCGAGTATGCCAGCTAGTTGCTCATATAGCAGAAGTCGAACTGTACTTTCTGACCTAACAATCAGCAACAAAGAGGACGCTCTGAATCCTTAGCCAAACAACGCCCTATGAAAATTCAATTTACAATGGGTTTGTCGTGAAATCGTCATCAAATCTGAAATCATATGGTGTGTTTACGTAAAAGTTGTAGTACACCAAGACAACAGCGACGAAATATATGGGAAGAGCAATCCTCGAGAACTAATCTACAGCGCTGATAGAATTTTGCGCCAGACCGAAAGGATCTGTGCGGCGACCCTAAAAAAGTCCTTTTGATCATGTTCAATGAAGAAATTGTTGGTTTCTTACGCTATTTACCATCCAGTAATATAATCGCCATCCGACACTGTCTCTGAAAAAATACGAGGTTTTTAGCCATCTAGCTTTTGGTTGAACTGGGTACTAATTACTGCTGAAATTCCTCGATTGTTTGTAGATGCCCTTCTTCATAAGACGAGACGGATTGCTTCTGACACAAATGTTGCTTTCTCAGTGAAGTTTTCCGAACTCGATGATACATTGAATGTCGTCCGCCATCACTTCGAGTCTGATGGATGTGCTTATATTCTAACGATTTTCACATATAAATGTGGTTGCTTTGATGCTATTTGTGGTCAAAAAAATGGTTTCGTTACTAAGCCTCTCTATGCGGATGGTGTAAATTTCCGAGCTTTTTGCTTTATTGTCACTTATGGTCACAACAATTACTAACCATTCCTGTCTGCGGCCGAAGATGATCGATATGGAATTTTCTCGGTGGTCGACGATTGCTGTAAACATTGGTGTCAACTGAAAAATTAATTTAAGAGCAATAAGAGGCAGTTCACCTGAGTACAGCCGTTCTAGGAATTCTTCTAATGATTCGCCACATTCGCTCCCTTTCAACTGCTTGTATCTCTGGATCTCCGGTGTTGAACTTGGTGAAGTAGTGAACTACAGTAAATTCAACCATGCATATCAAAAGTGTTGTGTAACAGATCCAGATGTAGATATCCAAAGCGGTTGGGAAGTTCACCTAAAACATAGAAAGCTCAATTTTCTACTACAGTGCTGAGAAAACGCGAACTACGACTTTAAGTTCAAGTAAATGAAACATCAATAGATCCTGCAACTTTTGTAAGCTAAAAAAGGACAGGAGTAATAGCGAGGTGAACAGTGTACAACTTACCTTAGGGACATCTGATTTGCTGTCATTGGAAATCAGCACCATGGTAAGAACAGAAGTGATGCCTGCAAAAAATGATTCCGTAAAAGTTATCGACAATTCAGTCCAAACACATACCCATTCCTATACGATCTCCGGTAGCTTCGCGACTCGTCCAAAGGGCTACCCAACATAGAAGTACAATCAACGTGCATGGTACATAGAAGTTGATAAGAAAGTATTCGAAATGCCTTTCGAAGTAGAACCTGACTTCTAGAGCCGAATAGTTGCCTAAACTTGATTCAGCTTTGAAAAGCTTCAGAAGACTCTTGGGAAGCTTTACATGAGCAACTTCTAGAATTTCTTTACGATCACGTGTCATATTCGTTGAGTTAAGCACTTGGAATCCTGTCATTGTGAACTGGGCAAGCTCCTTGATTCCATCGTAGTCCATCTATGAAACGACAACTATTGTCCCATTCTTAAGAAAATAGTAGATGTGAACTACTTGAACTCCTCTATCCAATCCCACTACTCTCCAGTCGTAAAGTAATTCATCTTCCCCGTATGCATAGGATCCTATCACAAGTCGACAAGCCTGAAGGAGCAGTTTATAGACAGTGGTAGTATGGTTGATCATTTCAAGAAAATGTGTGAGAAAAGCGTGAGAACTCTGAAAGATTTCCCCGGTAGAAATTGCTGAGATGAGAGGACAAAAAAGTCGGGTGCATCGGCAAAACTGATTGTAGCAAAATCAGAGTGAGAATTTTTCAAAGTCTATTGAACCACACAATTCCATTCCACCGTGTCGCGGCTCCGTGATGCGAGCACTCCTAGAAGTAGGAGGCCGGGAGCACTGGTTGCTGCCGCGTTATCCAGCGACGAATACGGTACTTTCTCATGCTTGCCGCAATCGCCGCTGGACCTCTCCTCGCCTTGGCGCGTTGCCAGCAAAAAGCCTATATATAGCGGCGGCGCCTCATTGCAGCGTCTGTTCGCTTTCGTTTTCGATCCATAATCTTTTCGTATGTTTTCCATTGTGCTCGTGCCTGGCAGTTAGCTCCCGCTTTTGATGTTTCTTTTGCGTTAGCGGTCGAGCGGATCGGAAGTTGTATAGTATTGTAATTCAAGACGGATTTGGGATTATTTCGGACGAGCCACTTTTGGAGCTTTGAGATTTAAGATATTCAAGATCTTGTAAACTTTGGGAGCGGGGAGGCTGTCGCGCCTGGTGTCCGGCGACGCGCGGCGGATCTGTTTAGGTGAAGCCTCGGGAGCATTTCTCTTATTTGTATTTATAGTCGCGCACATCGGTAGCACGGGATGGGGCAGCTCGTGCCGTGTTGAGCTTGTTAACGTTTAGTAGTAGTTTAGTCCTTATCTTACAAAGGAACGAAACTCAATGTCCGTGGCCTTTTGAGACGAGATGTATACCATTACACTCGCCTTCGAACGGTGATTCCGAATCTGACTTCCTTTTCTGCTAATCGTTTCTCTGAAGGAAGTTATGGAGGAATTTTGAGCCAACTTTATCCGCCCAAGGGTATGGGCACCAGAACGGCCTCTACCGGCGCCATGTTATTGTCTAGTGATTAGTGTGATAGCCTCATAACTTGATACAGGTGTAGGTTCAAATCCTTTTGTGTTTTTATTTTGCATTACCTCAATTAAAGTTGTTCGAATTCACTCGGATTATGGTCATTTACATTTTAACGCAAATAGTAAATTTCCAAATTTGCACATTTTCTGAAGAGTAAGGGCGTACAGTTAGCTCGAAGATGCGAAAGAAGGTTTATTGGCAACGCAGAACTGAAAAACACAAAGTGATTCGAACCTACACCTGCATCAAATCTTGAGCCTAGGCGCTAACCACTAGACCACACCGCACCTTCACTGCTGCTGCTTTGAATATATTTCAGTGGACAACCAAAGCCCGCACAATCCTTTACAACATCTTTGAAGCGATTAGCAGAAATGGAAGCCAGATTCGGAGTCAGCGTTCCAAGACGAGTGTAATGGTGTACAACTCATCTCAAAAAACCACGGACACCGAGTATAGTTTCCTTGTTAGTAGTTTCCTTCGTAGTTTAGTTGTGAGTTTTTGTGTAGCCTTTTATTGTCTCTTTGATGTCATAAGGATAAAAACTTAAACTTATTTTTTTGTCTAGACGCGCGCTAGGGCAACTTAGTAGGGTAGGTTGCGTCGTATGTATTAAGCGGGCAAGCGCTTAGGTAATTCGGGTTAGATCTAGGTGCTTAGAGCCCGCCCAGCCGCCACACACCGCTTACCAAACATGACTACATAATCAAGCAGTCATTGTATAACCCTGACCTTTGATGGTAAGCCTACTGCTGAACAGGACAGTCCCATCCGGATATAATCTCACCGACCTAGTCGTCATGGTGTGCGTGTACGACCGAGCACCATTCCAGAAGTACTGAATACTGATAAAGACAGAATCAGCACATCTACGTTATGATTACCGTATCTGGCTTCCAAGTCTTGTCGAGCATCGCCATGCTCAACGATAGAGATTGCTTGGATCGTGTTCCATTGAATTTTAATCTAGCGTCAGTCCACATTTGTCGGAAATAGCAGTTAAAAGAATATGTCTAAAAAATCTTTCGCTGTTGATAGGAACAGCTTCAAAGAAATTGGTAATTTCTCACATCCGTTAGGTCAGATATGGGGCCCATGGTGCGGACGTTGATGTCTATGAACACCGTGGTTTTCTCCACCAAACCATACCTCATTGTAAACTTTTACCTTGGATAACTTTTTGTAAGTTCTCAGGGGTAGACTGCTTACTGTTGAAGCCTACTCTGAGGTGTCGATCATAACCTTCCAATACTTGGTTCAATAAAAATGTCACATTGTGAGCAACCCCATCGAGACGGTGTGCTGATTGAAAAAAATGCAAGGTTGAAAATGGATTAAGTCAGATCAAACAAAAAATGAAGATGAGATTTACATTGAGGAAAGCATGAATCTGAGTCAAATAAAGAATTACTGTTTCTCCCTTTCAGACTTCATTATCTACATGCTAGCTTTTCTAAAAATCTGTAAATCTGAGTCTCTCTGCGCAAGTATACATGTTATTAAGTGGTCCTTTGAGTACTTCATCTATACACCGAGAATTTCGAGCATGTATAGATCTGAACGGTTTTTTTTTGCAGAGCAAAATATTAGATCGAAGCAAAAGTTTTGCCAGTTTTTTTTTTTTGAAATGAGCCTCAGATCCCGCACAGTAAAGATAAACAAACATTTCAAGTTGTATTCGATTCAGAATTTCTTCCTCTTCCCAGCTGCTATATACTCAGAGCGTTTAATTGAAAGAGTGCTGAGGTAATTGCTGGAATTTACAAATTTTCACCATGTCCAACTTTCGCTAATTTTCAGAACTTTTGTATGAAATTTTTGGAGGAGCGTCAAAATTCAGCAGATAGGGCAGACCTTTTTCCATTTTTGAAGCTCTGTGGCTTGTACTTCAGGGTTTTTATAATATTTTTTTGAAGTGAACAAATATTATATTCCGCTTATTCTCACCTCATAGTACATAAAATGGCAAGCAGTTTAGGTACCATTCGATACACATTTTCTCCTCTTTCTAACAGTTGTCTTCTTCTGGGGAGACATGCGATATTGCGCGGAAAATCGCAGTATTTCTCTAGTTGACGAGTGCGCACTGTTAAACCTAAGTTTCGAAATCTTCACATTTTGACGCGAAAATTGCCCATTTACTTTGTAAGGTCAGTAACTAAGCGAATTTTGAAATCTCATCAATCTGAATATTTTGCGGTGTGGTGCAATAATAAGGCATGCGATTTTTCCAAAACTCAAATTCAAAAATTAAATCGAAAAATCTTAAAAGAGTAAATGAAAAAACTGAAAAAATTGCTTTGGTTGGCAAAAGGTTTGCCCTAGCTGCTGGTAATTGAATCTCTCACAAAAGTTTCCAACAGTATTCGTGAAAATTAGCGAAATTTGGACATTGTGAAAGCGAAGGGTTGTAAATTCCAGCGATTATTTCAGCACTCTCTTAACGGATCACATTGGCAATAAAGCATCTGGAAAGAGAAAGAAATTTCTTTCTTATCGGATACAGATGCTTGTGTGTGAGACGTTTGTTTATCCTCACTGTACAGGAGTTCATTTTGAAAAACTAACAAAACTTCTGCACCGACCTAATAGTTATTAAACATGAAGCACCCTTGCTGAAGAGCTGCAAATCCAGTAAAAAAATGTTGCGTTAACACTTTCGAAATTTACCTCTCATTTTTGACTGAGCTGTGCGATTTTCTAGCGCTCGAAAATCGGACGCTTTCAATCTTGAACGAATTGGCAGACGTGAAGGTAATGAAGAAAAGCAAATTTACCAGCATCCTTTTCATAACCTGGAAGCCAAATGTTATTGAGATATCATAAGAAGTTAGCGAGAAAAAAAAACTAAGCTTTCAGTCAAAGGCTAGCGCTGCTGAAATCCGCATAACAAGTGGGTCGAAGCGTTGAAAGATGTGAGGAGTGAGATTAATGATAGGATAACCTCTAGTAGAGCAGCGAGGCAGTACGGGTCACCGATTCGAAAAACAGATACAGGAATAGTAATCTCTATAGCTTTGCCAATGTAAGTGCCAATAGGGTAGACTAAGAAGATTTGTTCATGAGTATTTTTCAGATGGTTTTCCCTGAAACAACAAAAATTGGTTGCGCCTACAGGATTTGCCCCGGTGCCACAAATACCATGACCATCACCTGTCTATACAATGGAATGTCAGTTATCTGTCACTCGTGTGAATAATATGAATAATGCAGTTTATTTCAGTACTATTTTACAAATCAAGTGATGTGGGAAACCGGATCAGCCTGTGTAAATGGTGCAGACTGTACCACATACCCCTATTTCGGTTGTTCTGGTGGCCTCTGTATCAAAGGACCAGATGCACAAGGTTTGCTGAAGCTTGGAAGAAATCCCCTACCAAGCCCCTTCTGTTTTTCATAAGCATAGATTACCACCATTAATTATGCTACCGCCTAAGCCTCTTTCGACGACTTTTTTGTTCTCGATTTTTAGTCTTTTCCGCTTTGAATAATCCATATGGCTCTTAGCAGCTGACTACATTGATATCGCCCACACCGCATATAAATAGCAACCTGAACTCGTCAACTAATCACAGAAATGATCTCCTCCGCTTATTTATTTGCTGGGGTGAGTTCGATAAAACAGATTGCAAATTAATACTCCAACAATCCATGCATAGCTGCTACAGTATCGTCTTTTTAACGGAGCTGGCTGCATTTTGAGTCAACTTTTTAGCTAATTAGGAATAATTCAGAAACTCAGTTTCCCGTGTACTTCAAAATTTCAAAGTTGTTTTAGGTTTTCCTCTTTACGCTGACGGCTTGCAACGCGGCTGTCTACCAGATAAGACGGTCAAGTAAGCATCGTTCCAACATCCTTCTGCTCCTTTCTCCCGTGTCTATTTTGACATTTTCTATTCAGCATACTCTTGCTCAAACACCGGATTGACAGACGCTATCCGAGATCAAATTCTCAACTATCACAATGCAGCTCGTCTGAGAGTGACCAAGGGGATAGAACCAAATAATGTCGGACTTCTCAACCCTGCGAAGAATATGTATAGATTGGTGAGTGAAACTTTGTTATAAAGTACATAGCTTATCTTGAATTGTAAATTGGTTTGAACGGCCACTAGCATCATTGGCAAAAAGAAATCTATTGCCCCATTTTTTTCTAGTTGTGTTTCAATAACTATTATTCCGAAGGACAAATTGAAATTAACAAGCGACTGAGACTTAAAAATTGCTTAGGAATGGGACTGTAACATGGAGCAGCAAGCACAGGCCGCCATTGCCTCTTGCCCTGGCAACTTGGGAACATGGTCCAATATGGCGCAGAATCTCGTGAAGTAAGTATAAAACATCTTTTAGAAATTTAACATGGAATTGGCTCGCTTCGATAATGTGATCAGACTATCAGCTTCACAAGAGCGAGCATTATCACTATTTCAGCTTAAAATTTGCAGCCAATCGCTTTTATCCACATTTTTCGGGGCATTATTCACCAAGGCCTTTCTCTAAAGGAAAACTACACAAGCTTTGTAATATTCAGCTCAAACCGAAATGCTAGTTTTTGCCTATGATAGATTCACAATTCAGATACACCAGCACAGGCTCTTTCTCCAATCCAACCACACAAATAAATTCTGCGCTGAATACGTGGTGGGGAGCAGCGAGGCAGTACGGGGTCACCGATTCGAAGAACAGATACAGGAATAGTAATCACTATAGCTTCGCCAATGTAAGTGCCAATAGGGTAGTCTAAGAAGATTTGTTCATGAGTTTTTTTCAGATGGTTTTCCCTGAAACAACAAAAATTGGTTGCGCCTACAGGATTTGCCCCGGTGCCACAAATACCATGACCATCACGTGCCTATACAATGGAATGTCAGTGATCTGTCACTCATGTGAATAATATGAATAATGCAGTTTATTTCAGTGGCTATTTTATAAATCAAGTGATGTGGGAAACTGGATCAGCCTGCGTAAATGGCGCAGACTGTACCACATACCCCTATTCCGGTTGTTCTGGTGGTCTCTGTATCAAAGGACCAGATGTACCAGGTTTGGTGAACTTGGATGGATCATATTAAAACTTTGTAATCCACCTTTTTCTCTGTGGTTTCTTCAATATGGAAATTTAGCGAAGACAGCGATGGTGGTCGATACGCAAAAATAAAAATTTTACACTTAGTATTATTGAGGACTTTCAAAAACCTGAAAATTGAATGAGTAAACTGAATCAATCTTCACTTGAAAACTCCAGATACCAACTACATCTGCCCCAACAACTATGGAATGACAGACGCGGTTAGGCAGAGGTTTTTGTCTCTTCACAATAGTTACAGGTACACAGTATATTTTCAAGAATCTGAAAAGCACAAAATTTACTCAAGTATACTTCTGATATAGATCAAGTCTTGCACGCGGACTAGAGCCTGACGCCTTAGGAGGATATGCTCCTAAAGCCTCGAAAATGCTCAAAATGGTAAATCTTTTCTTACTTCGAATGTATTAGTACTAGCCTTCTATTCTGATTTGATTTAAGGTTTATGATTGCTCAGTAGAAGCAAGTGCCATAAGGAACGCTAACAAATGTGTCTACGCGCATTCCACCGATGCGGAACGACCAAATCTCGGAGAAAATATTTGGTTCACCACTGCGCAAAATTTTGACAAAGTCAAAGCTGCCACCCAGGTAAAATGAACCGGATACTCCATAAGATAGCCAACCTTACTAGTTAGGCTTCGCAATATTGGTGGGACGAACTGGAAGAATATGGAATAGGTCCGTCAAATAATCTTACTCTCGCGATTTGGAACAGGCCTAATGACGTCGGTCACTACACCCAGGTGCTATTGTTTCTAAGAATCTTTTCTACGAAGATCAATTCACCGCTTAAAGAGTACTCTGCGTTTGATACCACTGCTTAGATGTGCTGTTACATCCTGTTCTGGATTTACCTATGTCGTCTGCCAGTATGGACCAAGGTAAGTCCCGACAGTATCGCAAACACGAGTTTATTCTATCTTTTTCCAGAGGTAATTTCCTCAATAACCTAATCTACACAATCGGCAACCCATGCACTGGATGTGGATCGTATACATGCAGTGTAGCCGAAGGATTATGCAATGTTGTTTGAATTTTTACTATGAAACGATAAACATTTTTAAACTTTATGAAGAGTCCAGAGCATCCGTATCGGCAAGGGCCATAAGTAAACATAGAAGGTCGCACTTAAACTCATTGTTAAAAGTTTCAAAAGTCGCTTGTGATCTGACGTAAAGAAATGCTTATAATTTTGCATCGAACAATTTATGTTTTAAATTATTGACTTTTCTGATAGCTATAAGCAATTGCATAAGATGTTGTCAACTAAACTTGAAAACTTGCTCTTCTAACTTAGGTATACGCATTTGTTTTTTTTGTAAATTTTCTAGGAAGCGCGCTGCCATTTTCAGCATGCTGCTTTTAACAGATTTGCTTCATTTGACAAGTTCTGGAAAGAGTAAATTATGAGCTTTTCAAAAGCGTTGAATCAGCAAGTGTTGTGGAAGTTCTTAGATTCCGGCTGAAAGAAAACACTTGGATTTCGCAGCTATGCAAAGATTTCTCCAACGATACTTACCTTATTCGGAACTAAAACTATAAGATTGTGGAAAAATATGGAAGAAACGATCGCTGTCATTGCGAAGTAGAAAAGAGGACGAAATTTCAAAAAATGTTTTACCCGTCACATTTTATGTGGACCACTATACTTGGGGAAATTCGAAATTTTTTCGAATATTCGAATATCGAATATATTCGAAAATTGAAAATTTCGAATATTCGAAAATCGAATAATATTTGAAAATCGAAGTTCTCGAATATTCGACTATCGAATATTATTCGAAAATTGAAAATTTCGAAAATTCGACTTTCGAATATTATTCGAAAATCGGAAATTTCGAATATTCGACTACCGGATATTATTCGAAAATTAAAATTTCGAACCGAACAATATTCGAATATCGAACATTCGTTATTCGCATTTCGAATATTATTCGGTTCTCGAATGGTATTTGATTTTCGAATATCATTCGGTTTTCGAATACTGACCGAATAATTTACATCATTGAGACTGCCAAAGGCCAAAACGCTAAGAATAAATTGTTTCATGTAAATGATAAGAATGGACACATTCTTATGGTACGATTTACGATGGAAAAACGGTTTAGTCGTGACGTGAAGAGAGAGACTTAGGAACCAAGCTACTCTTATGACGGTTGTGAAAAGATTTTTCGTACTTCAAAGAAGATTATATACCCTCACTGAGAGTTGCGATTGGGTATACAGCGGTCCCAACATATGTAGATATGTAGGCTGACATCAACGTAGAGTATGGGGCGATTTATCAATCGCTATTCACTACTGTAAAATTACCGTAGGACTGAAGTGGGTTTCAAAACATCAAGATCCATTTCCCTAAGAAAAAGAATCAAAAGGGCTGGAAGTCTTGCTTTAGATTTCTAAAGACACTTTATGTAGAATTTGCACTCAATCGTAATGCATTTTCAAAACCTACGCCAGGTATCCTGTGTGCCCCAGAAAAGTTTCCATGTGAATCAGCTGCGTACGTGGTGCGACGCTGCCTTTTGCCCTTTTTGACACGTTTCTCCTGAGATTTCAACGGAAATGCCCGAGGTTAACACGTTCAAAACAGCGAAAGGCAGCGACATGACGTGGTGATACCTATGGAAATTTTGCTGGGGTACAAACGATACACCGCAACAAGTGTTTTGCGACGCTTTTCAAAAATGTGATTGCCATTTGAAAAGCTTGAAAACTCGTAAAACTAGTAAAATCAGCATAAGACCTTTTTGGGGACAATTTTTTTGGATGTCTTATTTTGCAGTTGGTCTATAAGCTGGAGTTTCCTACTGTGATAACACACAATAAAAAAAACATGGGTGATTCGCTTTCTGCTGTATTTATAAGATGAAGCCATCCCTATTGGATGTTACCCAGAAATTGGCAAAAGACTTTGAGAGGTATTAGCGATCAAACGGTGTGTAGATACTTTTAAGACACCCCGTATACGCTATGCATATCGAATTCTCGAATATTCGGTGCTTATCGAATTTTCGAATAGTCAATTCTTATCGAATTCTCGAATATTCGGCGCCTATTGAATTTTCGATTAATCATTTCTTATCGAATTATCGAATATTCGGTGCTCGACGAATATTCGAATGTTTGATGGACATCGAATGATCGAATGAATGACCTTCGAATATTCGACTATCGAATAATATAAGAAATTCAAGATTTTCGAATATTCGACTTTCGAATAATATTCGAAAATGAAGATTTTCGAATATTCGATTATCGAATATATTCGAAAACAAAAAATTTCGAATATCCGACTTTCGAATTTTATTCGAAATCTCAGATTTTCGAATATTCGACTTTTCGAATCATTCGCATTCGAATATTTATTCGAATGATCGAATAATTATTCGATTCGGTCCCAAGTATATGGCTCACCCTGTATATAAGCGGTAGGAGCAAGACCAGAAACTATAAGCAAACAGAAGTTATAGTATTATGATGGATGCAAGTGAAAACGGGGTAGCAGTTTTATCTGAAATACACTTAAAATAAACAGGTGCATAAAGGGGGTAAATGATGCAAATTAACAGACGGCTCTTGACAAGAATGTGGGAGCAAGCGATGCGCAAACGGTCTCAAAGCGAAGAAAAGGGCATTTATTCGAAAAGCAGGTTTTTTTAATACTGCTTCTTACAAGGGAAGGATGCGAGGTGACCGCGGTCATTCTCACTGAGACACGTATGACTGGATGCGCCTTAAAACGCTTTTGAATGTGCTTTCGCTATCTGCTAAGCTGGCAAAGCTCTGCTTTGCGTGAATTATGTTACGAACATCTTTTCCAAAAGAATTCGCCCTGTTCCAGTTGAGCAAAACTATGAGTATTCGCTCAAATATCTTGTTTCGCTACTCAGAAGAACATTTGATGAAGAGCGCAGTTATTAGGTTGGCACATAAGTTTTGTAACTTTTCTTCTTATCTTATGTAGCAATCTCATTGTCTAGCATTATGTAGAATGTGAAGTAAGCTGCAAATCTACCCAACGTTTGATTTTTCGAAACGAATTAGGAAAAATTTAAGCATTTTTCGAAGACTGCTGAAAATCGAGGTGTCATGGTTTCTTGGCAAACATGAAACGTACAAAATCTGGATCAAACATATTAAAAAGCAATAATAGGCAGCTTATAGCAAGTTAAAACATTAAAGCCAATAAAAAAGAAATGAAATTAACGACAAATTAGGATAGGGCGCTTTCAGAAGTTGAACAAGTTAAAGGCAGCGTCCGGGCAAAATTTCGCCTCTCATGTTTCTGCCATTCTGGGGCCTTCCCGTGGCCCTGATTACAGTTGTAAAGTTCAAATTGTTCAAAACTCCCAAAAAACCCGGTTCTTGGGGACCCTCTCTTCAAGGAGCGGACGAGTTTCGAATTGCTCGTCCCCATCGTCATGCTAGCGGGAGAAGCTGCAACTGCACGGATGCAGTTGCATTGCAGTGTGCAGTACAACTGTAATGCAACTGCAATGCAACCGCACACCTGCGTAAGCACTCGTCCTCAGGGGTGGTTTGTGATACGAAGGGGCGGCTTGTGATACGTATCAAAGGCCCGTATCTCCTTTTAGAGGGCACGTCAAAGGATTGGACCAACGCAGATCGGATACTCATGGGCCCCTCTTTACAACTACATATGTGCTAATCTGGGTGGATGGATCTTGCCCGGACGCTGCCTTTAAATGCGTCACATTTGGTGGACCATCCGTCAATAGCTAAGTTGCGAAAAGTCAGAAATTGCTAAGACTTTGCGCAATAGTTATCCTATATGGTGGACACGATTTTCATATCCATTTGCCGCTAAGATAAAACTTCATCCCTTCATCTTACAAAAGAGGTCTTTTCATGCAAAACGGGATTTTTGTGATAAGCATGTAGAATAACCCTTATACGCAAGTTTCAAATCGGACGCGATCTAGAAATTTTCCCATTACACCGTAGACCTACCGTAACCCTAACATAAGACGGCAAAATTCGGCAAAAAATGTTTGTACTTGAAGTTTACATCACAATCCTTATATTGCCAAAAAATGAATGCGCTACGTTCAAAAGACAAAAGTTATATTAAAAGTTGTAAGACTCATGTGCCAACCCAATACTTCTATTTTGGCTAACCCGTCTCGCGTTTGCGTTAACCCTCAAAAAACTCGGATATCAATGAATTGCCTTTAGAGTGAAAAAGTTATGCGGGAGAAATTTTAATCACATAATTTAATTCGAGCAATCTTGAATCAAAGCAGATTTGTCAGATTTTAGCATTTCGAGGCGCATCCAGTGATATATATCTCATTACAAATGGCCACGTTCACCAAATATCCTTTTCTCCTTAGTTCCAATGAGCGATATGATCGTATCGCTGCTCACTTTCCAAGTTCAAGGTTTGATTGCTTACTTTTTGGTAAAGTATCATTCTTAAGAACGATAGAAAAAGAAGCTGCTGCTTACACCTCCGATGTCCGACAGCTCTATTAAGGTGCTTGCGACTCTGATCTTTCTTACCACCGCGAGAGACATCAGAATCGCAAGCGTCTTATGGGGCTCTCTTTCATGCAGAACACGGTTGAGTAGCCTCTGTGTCCGCTCAGATGATGTCCGTTCAGATGTGACCAAAATGCAACTTTTGCAGCCCGAGGCTAGAGGGCGGAGCCTCCGCTTCATAGCACGAAGATCCAAGTAGTAACTCCCTCCCATCCCCTCTCGGAACAGGTGGCGCGCACCTACGCCGTTGCGAGGGTATGAAGGATTTTTGCACCAAGTTTGGCCGCCCGAGTGAAATGCGTTAGTCACACTAATACCTCCTGTACGCTGTGATGTAGTGGTTAGTGCGATAGCCTGACAAGTTGATGCTGTAGGTTCGAGTCCTTTTGTGTTTTTCAGTTTTGCATTGCCTCGATTGAGTTCTATTTGAAGTCAGGCATCCTCGAGGTAAATGCATGCTCTTACTCTAAAGATTCAACGAGCAATCATTTTTACATGAATGTCTTTGATATTTATTCCAAAAGGTGC